AAATGAATTGCATTCTTTGACAAGATATCATAATTTACATAAATACACCACCAATAATGGAGGAATTGGTTCTTTCCAGGTTTTTTGGTATTATAAACAATGTTGTCATGAACATTCTTGTCCATGAGTGAATGTTTACATGTTAAAAGAGCATAACATACCTATTATTTTAAAAAAAAGATTTAATTTATTTATTCATGAGAGACATAGAGAGGCAGAGACATAGGCAGAGGGAGAAGCAGGCTCTCTGTGGGGAGGGAGCCCAATGTGGGACCTGGGGTCCCAGAATCATGACCCGAGCCAAAGGCAGAAACTCAACCACTGAGCCACCCAGGTGCCCCAAAATACCTATTCTTCTGAAGCTGGTCCTAAAAATAGAAATGGATGGAAAACTTCCAAACTCCTTCTATGAGGCTAGCATTACGTTGATTCCAAAACCAGACAAAGATCCCACTAAGAACAGAGAATTATAGAGCAATATCCCTGATGAACACGGATGCAAATATTCTCAACAAGATACTAGCCAATAGAATCCAATGGTACATTAAAAGGCTTATTCACCACGATCAAGTGGAATTTATTCCTGAGCTTCAGGGGTGTTCAGTATCTGCGAAACTTTCACTTTTTGCACACAACATGATGTAGAAAGCCCAAAATAGCAACACGCAGAAGAATGAAACTGAACAACTTTCTGACACCCTACACAAATTAATGTGATACACCACATTAATAAAAGAAAAGAACCATATGATCCTCTCAATAGTTGCAGAAAAAGCATTTGACAAAATATAGCATCCTTTCTTGATTAAAAACCCTCAAAAAGTGGGGACAGGAGGAACATACCTCAACATCACAAAGGCCATATACAAAAGACTCAGCCTCAGTGGGGAAAAACTGAGAGCTTTTCCCCTAAGATCAGGAACATGAAAGGATGTCCACTCACAACACTGTTGTTCAACATAACACTGGAAGTCCTAGCCATAGCAATCAGACAAAAAAAGAAATAAAAGTCAAAAGTCATCCAAATCCGCAAGGAGGAAATCAAACTTTCACTCTTTGCACACAACATGATGTAGAAAACCCAAAAGACTCCACCAAAAAATTACTAGAAGTGATACATGAATTCAGAAAAGTTGCAATATATAAAATCAACATACAGAAATCTGTTTTATTTCTATAAATAAATATTTATTATATATTAATAAAGCAGAAGGAGAAATTAAGGAATTCATCCCACTTACAATTGCACCTAAAACCATAAGATACCTAGGAATAAACCTAACCAAAGGTGAAAGATCTGTACACTGGGGATGCCTGGGTGGCTCAGCAGTTGGGCATCTGCCTTCAGTTCTGGACGTGATCCGAGGTCCGGGGATCGAGTCCCACATCGGGTTCCCTGCGAGGAGCCTGCTTCTCCCTCTGCCTATGTCTCTGCCTCTCTCTTTCTGTGTCTTTTATGAATAAATAATTTTTTAAAAATCTTTAAAAAAGAAAGAGCTTGGGGATCCCTGGGTGGCTCAGCGGTTTAGCGCCACCTTTGGCCCGGGTCATGGTCCTGGGGTCCCGGGATTGAGTCCCGTGTCCGGCTCCCTGCATGGAGCCTGCTTCTCCCTCTGCCTGTGTCTCTGCCCACCCCCCTCTGTCTATCATGAATAAATAAAATCTTAAAAAAATAATAAAAATAAAAAGAAAGAGCTTTACACTGAAAACTATAGAACACTTATGAAAGAAATTGAAGAAGACATAAAGAAATGGAAAAAACATTCCATGCACATAGATTAGAAGACCAAATATTGTTGACATGTTTATACTACCCAAAGCAATCTGCACATTCAATGCAATCCTAATAAAAATAATACCATCATTTTTCACAGAGCTAGAACAAACAATCCTGAAGTTTGTATAGAACCAGAAAAGGGGATCCCTGGGTGGCGCAGCGGTTTAGCGCCTGCCTTTGGCCCAGGGCGTGATCCTGGAGACCCGGGATCGAATCCCACGTCGGGCTCCCTGTGCATGGAGCCTGCTTCTACCTCTGCCTGTCTCTGCCTCTCTCTCTCTCTCTCTCTCTCTCTCTCTGTGTGACTATCATAAATAAATAAATATTAAAAAAAAAGAACCAGAAAAGACCTTGAATAGCCAAAGTATGGTGAAAAAGAACAGTTAAGTGGGAGGCATCAGAATCCCAGACTTCAAGATGTATTATAAAGCAGTATTCATCAAGACAGTATGGTACTGGCATAAAAACAGACACATGGATCAGTGGCACAAAATAAAGAACCCAGAAATGGACACACATCTATATGGCCAACTAATCTTCAACAGAGCAGGAAAAAATATCCAGTGGAAAAAAAGAGAGTCTCTTCAACAAATGGTGTTGGAAAAAACTGGACAGCAACATGCAGAAGAATCAACCTAGACAGCTTTCTTATACCATACACAAAAATAAAGTCAAAATGGATAAAAGACCTAAATGTAAGGCAGGAAACCATCAAAATCCTAGGGGAGAACATAGGCAGCAACCTCTTTGGCCTTGGCTGCAACAACTTTTTTTTTTTTAACTTTTACTTATATTATTCATGAGAGACCCACACAGAGAGGCAGAGGGACATAGGCGGAGGGAGAAGCAGGCTTCCCACAAGGAGCCTGATACTAGACTCGATCCCAGGACCCCGGGATCACAACCTGAGTCAAAGGCAGATGCTCAAACACTGAGCCACCCAGGCATCCCACCTGTAGCAACTTCTTACTAGACACATCGCTGGAGGCAAGGGTAACAAAAGCAAAAATGAACTATTGGGACGTCATCAAGATAAAAAGCTTCTGTACAGTGAAAAAAAACAATAAAACTAAAAGGAAACCAACAGATAGGACAAGATATTTGCAAATGACATATTGGATAAAGGGTTAGCATTCAGAATCTATAAAGAACTCATCAAAATCAACACCTAAAAAATAAATAATCCAGTCAAGAAGTGGGCAGAAGACATGAACAGACATTTCTCCAAATGGCCAACAGACTATGAAAAAATGCTCAATATCACTTATCATCCGGAAGTACAAATCAAAGCCACAGTGAAATATCACCTCACATCTGTTAGAATGACTAAAATTAGCAACTCAGTAAACAACGGATGTTGGCAAGGATGTGGAGAAAGGGGAACCCTTTTGCACTGCTGGTACGAGTACAGACTGGTACAACCACTGTAAAAAACAGTATGGAAGTTCCTTAAAAAGTTAAAAATAGAACCAGCCTATGACCCAGCAATTGCACTACTTGGTATATATCCAAAGGAGTCAAGGGGGTCCATGCACCCCAATGTTTATAGCAGCAATGTCCACAATAGCCAAACTAGAAAGGAGTCCAGATGTCCATTGACAGATGAATGGATAAAGAAGGTGTTTGTACACACACACACACACACACACACACACACACAGGAATATTACTCAGCCATCAAAAAGAATGAAATCTTACCATTTGCAACGACATGGATGGAACTAGAAGGTATGATGCTAAGTGAAACAAATCAGTCAGAGAAACACAAATATCATACGATTTTACTCATGTGGGATTTAAGAAACAAAACAGGTAAACATAAAGAGAGGGAAGGAAAAATAAAATAAGATAAAAACAGGAGTGCCTGGGGGGCTTAGTTGGTTAAGCACCTGCCTTTAGCTCAGGTCATGATCTCAGCGTCCTGGGATTGAGACTCATTGGGCCCACTCATTCCCACTCAATAGGAAGTCTGTTTCTCCCTTCCCCCCATCCATCTCTCTCTAAAATAAACAAACAAATAAATAAATAAAATCTTTTAAGAAAGATTTTTTAAAAAAATTAAATAAAATAAATTTAAAAATTTATTATTAATCTTTTTAAAAGATTTTATTTATTTATTTATGACAGACACACACACAGAGAAGCAGAGACATAGGAAGAGGGAAAAGCAGGCAATCCACAAGGAGCCTGATATAGGACTCGATCCCAGGTCCCCTGGATCATGACCTGAGCTGAAGGCAGATGCTCAACCACTGAGCCACCCACGTGCCCCAGATAAAATCTTTTTAAAAAAATAAGATAAAAATAGAGAGGAAGGCAAGCCATAAGAGACTCTACAGTTGGGAGAACAAACTGAGGGTTTCTGGTGGGGGAGATAGGGGTGAGATGGGTGAGGGGCTAAATGGGTGATGGGTATTAAGGAGGGCACTTGTTAGGATGAACAGTGGGTGTTATATGTAAGTGATGAATCACTAAATTCTATTCAAGAAACCAAAACTACACTATATGTTACCCAACTTGAATTTAAATTTAAAAATGTTAACGGGAAAAAAAGAGCATAGATACCTAGTGGTAGAATCACGGCTCTGAATGGCACGCTTGAAATGTTTTGCTAGGTATTGTGAAATTGCCTTCTAGAAATGTTGCTCTGATTTAAGTGTTTATTTTCCCATGTTTGGAGAGCAGGGGCAGAGATAACCTTTCAATATCATTCTAGACAGAAAAGCAAACCTTGATTAGAAATATTTATTTGTAGGGCACTGGGAGGCTCAGTCAGTTAAGAATCTGCCTTCAGCTCAGATCACGATCCTGGGGTTCTGCTATTGAGCCCCGCATTGGGCTTCTTGCTCACTGGAGAGGCTGCTTCTCCCTCTCCCTCTGCCTGCTGCTCCCCTGCTTGTGCTTTCTCTCTCTCTCTGTCAAATAAATAAATAATCTTAAAAATAGAGAAATATTTATTTGCCAGGCAAAAGGGAGATAGCATGTAATTTCAAGCTTATGTGTGTGCATGTGTGTGTATTTGCATGTGTATATGTGCACCACATGGCTTAAAAAAGTTTGCAGACCACTAATTATCTTGGGGCCAGAAGCCAATTGCAACTTTGGGTTCTGTATTTTGGGATTGGGCTTTCAGAGATTAGACCAAGTCCATTACTGATTAGCTGGATCCCTCAACACAAATGATTCAGAAACCAAGAAGACTCTGAGACATGCCAGTCATATCTGCAGTTTTAGAAACAATCTTTGTTACTTCAAGAAATCATTCATAAGTGAAGGACATGAGTCAAAGAGAGAGCCAATGGTTGAAGACAAAACAACAACAAAGAACCAATGTGTTCTGAAGGTCAGATTCCATTTGCAGAAATTCAAATTTTTGTTGAGTGCCTACCATATGCCAGGCTCTGCTTTAGGTGCTGAAGATACCGCAGTGAACAGAACATAAAAAAAAAAAATCCCTGGCCTCATGGAAGGTATATTTCGGGAGGATATAGATGATAAATTAAATAAGAGAAACACAGTGTAAGTTCCATGATGCTAAGTGCTAAGGAGAAAAATAAGTCAGGGAAAGGGGATGGGAGGGGCAGGGTTTACAATTTTAAATATGGTCAGCTAAGTTCTCCTGAAGTGACATTTGAGTAAAGATTTGAGGTAGCTAGGTGGACATCAGGGGAAAATATTCCAGGCAGAAGGGACTTCTGGTGCAATGGACCTAATCTGGAGGTGCCTGGCTGGCTCAGTTGGTAGAGCATATGACTCTTGATCTTGGGGTTAGGAGTTTGAGCCCCTCACTGGGGCGGAATGCTCCAAGAATAATTATAAAAGTGATGTTATAATAAGTTATCTCAGAAACCCACACACAAAATTGAGTTGTGGTGTTACAAGATACAGCTGTATAGTTTCAGCTTAAAATATGGTGTTTATACTTTTAATGTAACTAATGAGAAGGATAAGAGTGAAAATAATGCTTCAGACAGTATAACCACTCTCGTTGACAAGGGGAAAAAGTTATTATTCATCTTTTTAACCCTGAGATTTTGCTACAAATGAAGTTTTACATATTATAGGGAAAAATGCTGTATCCAAATAATGTAAAGGAAAGTAGCAGCTGTGTAATATGATGAAGTTAATATTGATTAGAAAATTCAATTATTTCTACAATTTATTCTGTTATATCCCAGGATAGCTGTTTGTCAGCAGGTGAACTTCCTATTTAATTGGCATGATTGAGTAATTAGATGCATTCTCAGAGCAGCAATAAAATCCAATTCTCATGTCTCAAGAACATAGTTGAGGTTTTTGTTTTGTTTTGTTTCACCCTTGGGTTTATCCAACTGAGACCAGGGAGACTCTTGCTTTATTTGGGAATAATTTTTGATTTAAATATTTGGTAATTATGTAGTATATAATTGTTTTCATCATAAGAATGATGGGGAAAATTCACAAATTTGACAAAGATTTGTGATTATTTGCCTTTCTCTGGTACTGAAGGATTCTTCAGGCTCTCACCATCTTTTCCTGCAGGAGCAAGAGCTTTCTGATCAGTATCTCTTTCTGACTAAAGGAATTTTCATCAGTTTATCTTCCAGAAGAAAAATGTGATTTTTGTGCTATATTCTCTACATCAAGTAGTAATACATTCATCTGTAAATAATAGAAAACCTTAATATAGTGGCTTAGAGGTTTATTTTGTTTCATTCAGTACAAAGTCTGGGAGTAGGTACAGTGGCTCCAAATTGAGTCCAGGGTCCCAGTCTCTTCCTATCTTTCTGCTCTTCTATCCTTATCATGTGGTCCTTCACTCTCATGCCAGTTGCTGCATGAATGGCTGCAGTGCCTCCAGACTTTACTTTGACATTCCAGGCAGGAAGAAGGTAGAAGGGTGAAGAGGACAAAGAAGACAAAAAGTCTCAGGATGACTTTGCCTTTTATGTTTTTCCATGAAGGGAAGCTCTTTTCAGGCACTTTTGATTAGTTGTAAGGGAAGCTGAGAAATTGGAAGTTTGGCTTTTTAGCCTCCATGTACAAGTGGTCAGAGGAGGAGGATATGTAGCTGGCCTTCGGTTAACCAACCCATACTTTTTTCCATACTCCCTTTCTTCCATAAAAATGTGCTTAAATTCATCACTGCTTACTCTACAAAGTCCATTTCTCTTACTATCATATGGCATGATGTCACTGAATGACTTCTCACTAAACTTTGGGAATTTATAGACAACTTATCTTATTTTTACTGATCCATCTGTATCAGTCAGAATTCTCCGGAAAAATAGAGCCAGTGCGTGTGTGTGTGTGTGTGTGTGTGTGAGTATATATATACTCCTCCTGGGATGAGCCTACTTCTCCCCCTGCCTATGTCTCTGCCTTCTCTCTGTGTCTCTTATGAATAAATAAATAAAATCTTAAAAAAAACTGTTATCCTAGCACTATCCTTATACTGTGTTACTTCTCTGACCTCATGCTTGCTAGTTTGTACCTTGATTATTACATCCAGCCACAACAGACTCTTGGTACTCATCAAACATGCTGAGTACACCTTCGTGTCACAGAGTCTTTACATTGCTATTCCTTCTGGCTAGAATGTTCCTCCCCAAGTTCTCCATGAGGCTCCCTCCCTCCTCTCTTCTAAGTCTGTCTCCATGTCCTCTCCTTGAGACCTACCTGACCAAGTGCTTAACATTCCAAATTGCAATTCCAATTCCCTAACACTTTCATTTTCCTCTGTCCTGCTCTACTTCTTTTCTTCATACAATTTCCATGTATAAGTTTAGCATTTGGTAAGATTGCAGGACACAAAATCAACATACAGAAATCTGTTGCATTTCTATACATTACTAATGAAGCAACAGGAAGAGAAATTAGGAAAGCAACCCCATTTGCAATTGAATCAAAAAGGATAAAAAAATCTAGGAATAAAATCAAACAATGAGGAGAAAGACCTGTACTCTGAAAACTACAAAACACTGATGAAAGAAATTGAAGTCAACACAAATGGAAAGATACCCATGCTCATGAATTGGAAGAACAAATATCATTAAAATGTCCATACTGCCTAAAGGAATATATAGATTTAACGCAATCCCTACCAAAGCCCCAAGAACATTTTTCACAATACTAGAATAAATAATCCTAAAATTTGTATGGAACTACAAAAGACTCCAAATAGCCAAAATAATCTTGAAAAAGGAAAACAGAATTGCAAGTATCATAATTTCATATTTCAAGTTATACTACAGATCTGTAATAATCAAAACAATATGGTCCTGGGATAAAGACAGACACACAGATTTATGGAACAGGATAGAAAGCCCAGAAACAAATCCATGATATTATGGTCAATTAATATTCAACAACAGAGGCAAGAATACGCAATGGGAAAAAGAACGTCTATTTAACAAATGGTGTTGGGAAAACTGATATGCAAAAGAATGAAACTGGACCACTTTCTTACACTATACATAAAAATAAGCTCAAAATGGATTAAAGTCCTAAATATGAGACCTGAAACCATAAAAACTCTAGAAGAGAGCACAGGCAGTAATTTCTTGGATATGGCCCATAGCAACATTTTTCTAGATAGGTCTCCTGAGACAAAGGAAATAGCAAAAATAAAGTACTGGGACTAAGTCAAAAGAAAAGGCTTTTGCACAGCGAAGGAAACAATCACCAAACTAAAAGTCATCCTACTAAATGGGAGAAGATATTTGCAAATGACATATCTGACAAAAGGTTAGCAACCAAAATATATAAAGAACTGCTACAACTCAACACCCAAAAAATAAAAATAAGCAAAAGACATGAACAGACATTTCTCCAAAGAAGACATTCAGATGGCCAACAGACACATGAAAAGATGCTCAATAGCACTTATCATCAGGGAAATGCAAATCAAAACCACAATGAGATATCACCTGTCAGAATGGCTAACATAAAAAACACAAGTGTTGGTGAAGATGTGGGGAAAAAGTAACCTTTGTGTACTGTTGATGGAAATGCAAACTGGTGCAGTCACTGTGGAAAATAGTATAGAGTTTCCTCAAAAAATTAAAAGTAGAACTACTCTATGCTCCAGTAATCATACTACTGGGTATTTACTCAAAGAATACAAAAACACTAATCTGAAAGGATATATGTTTATTGGATATATTTACAGCAGCATTATTTATAATAGCCAAACTAGGGAAGCAGCCTAAGTATCCATTATAGATGATTGAATAAAGAAGATAGAATATTACTCAGCTATAAAAAATAATGAAATCTTGCCATCTGCAATGACATGGATGAGCAAGAGAGTACAATGCTGAGTGAAATAAGTCAGAAAAAGACAAATATCATATGATTTTACTCATATGTGGAATTTAGGAAACAAGACAGGGAAAAAAGAGAAACAAACCAAGAAACACTCTTAACAATAGAGAACAAATGGATGGTTACCAGAGAGATGGGTGGAGGATGGGTGAAATAGGTAAAGGGGATTAAGAGTACTCATCCTGATGTGGATGTATAAAATGAGTAATGTATAAGTAATGTATAAATGTATACATTACATTTGAGTAATGAGTAATGTATAAAACTGTTGAATTGCTATATTGTACACCTGAAACTAATAACATTGTATGTTAACTATACTGGAGTTAAAATTAAAATTTTAACAAACTAAAAAAAACATTCAATATATTTCATTATGTTTATGATTTAGTCTCCCTCCCCTGGTCAGAAGGAAAGCCCTGGAAGGCAGGGATCTTTGTGTTCACTGATATATCCTAAGTGCATACACTAGTGTCTGGTACATTGTAGGAGTTCAATGAATATTTGTTAAAGGAAGGAAGAGGGGAGGGAGGAAGGAGGAAAGAAGGAAGAAATTTTGCCCTGAAGAGGAAGAGATAATAGAGTAGTAGATAGCATTAGGGAAAGGATTTTTAAAAATTTTTTTATATTATTAATTTATTTGACAGAGAGGGCACAAGCAAGGGTAGTAGCAGGCAGAGGGAGAGGAAGAAGCAGGCTCCCCAGTGAGCAAGGAGCCCAGTGTAGGGGCTCGATCCCAGGACTCTGGGATCATGACCTCAGCTGAAGGTAGATGCTTAACCTACTAGGCCACCCAGACACACCAAGGATTTTCTAATATTAGAAAAATTTGGACGTGTCTCACTGCTGAGGAAGGGAGCCAGTAGAGGCTGAAGATACAAGGGAACAGACTGAACCAAATGAGATTGTGAGAAATGGTGGGAGGATTAGCACCGGACAAGTCCATGACTGTGAAGAGCAGACTTAAACCCTGATAAAAACTGTATCAAATCCCCAGCAAGAGTGGACAGGCTAAAAATTATATATGGGATTTATACTGCTACGCAGTAGTTAGCTCTTGAGGTCCTGGTTCTGCCTTCCTACCAATCCTCCACATTCTGCCCGAATCCCCGTGGATGAGATGAATTAAGGATGAATGCTGGTGCAGCTAAGTCATAGGCGTTTTGGTAGGTTCTCATTTGGTAGGGCTGTCTGGTAATATCTGTTTTTACATTTTGTTTTTCACAGAAGTGGGAGATGAGGTCATTAGCTATGATTTAATTGTGCTGGTAGTGGTGGGCTTTAAGGTGTAAAGAGAAGGGAGGTTGGATATTTTTATGGTGGAGAAAAGGAGAGTATTAGGAATTCCTGCTGTGGTAAAATGTAGAGAAATCTCATTATGGTATCACGGAAGGATTAAATCTAGTTAAGGTCAATAATGTGCATTCATGGTTGTTGGTAGCTGCACAATTGTGCATTTTGTGACAGCAGTGTTCAGCAGCCCCGTGCAAGCATGGAGTTTCAATTCCAGGGTGGAGTTTTGGGTTTTTCTTGACCAGTTGGGTGAGATAGAACAATGGGCAAGTTATTCAAGGCAGCAAAAGTATCTTGGCTGAAGTGATAGATGATGCAATCTAAGCTGGGCAAGGAAAATATAAGTGGGCTAGTAGGAATAAAATAGAGGGTTCCAAGGACTAGAGCAGTGATTATCAAAATTCAGTGGGTAAAACAATTACCTTGGAAGGACCAGATCTTGAAATTATTTTCAGCAAGTCTAGGGTGAAGACCAGCATCTCTTCTCACAGATTGATTATGATTCTGCTCTAAGAGGGCCATAGACCATTTTTTGAGAAAGAGTGGATTTGAAATTATAGTGAGTTTGATGAAGTGATATTTTGAGAACAAATGGGACACACACAGAGAATACTATAGGGATAAGTGGGTACAGTCTGAGATGACTAATTTATTATCTCATAGGTGGCACAGCCTTAAATGATGAAAGGTTCAGGGCGTACCCAAGGAGGTGGGTGGCTGAAGTGGAGAGAGGAGTGGAGGTGAACATTGCCAAAGGTGAGGTCAAAGTACCAAAAGCCTAGGTAATCCATGTGTACCTTGAAGTCACCCTGGATGATGGCAGTATTTGGGAAAGAGAAGCAAAATTGTGAGCAAAGTTCAAAGCCATTGGTAAACAAAGGGGAGGGTTAGACTTGTGGATAGACAAAGCAAGGACCTGGAGTTGAGGGAGTGGAACTGGCTAAGAGTTTTTACACAACAGTGCAGAAATGGAACTGGCTAATAAGCTGAGTGTTTATTGAAGCTTTACATATATCAATCCATTTTATCCTCACAAACTTCATCTAAAGTAGGTGCTTTTTTTTTTTTTTTATTTCAAGTAGATTCCATGTCCAGCGTGGGGCTCTAATTCATGACTCCAAGATCAAGAATTGCATATGCTCTACCCACTGAGCCAGCCAGGTGTCATAAAGTGGGTGCTATATTTTATTCCCCTTTTAGGATGAGGGAACTGAAGCACTGAGAGGTTTAAGCATCAACCAGCACCTCATAATTATTATCCACAATCCTACATTGCCTGATGTAAAATGGTAGTGGAAGGTGTTTTCAACCATTTTAACTGAAAAAACAACAAAATGAAAAAACCCCAGTGGGTTTAACATTTTGAAATTGTTCAATTTTCATTTGTACTGAAATATTTGTTTTTCAATATCCAGCAGATGGCAGCACTAAGTAACAATTCCATATTAGGTCATCTAATAGAAACTCGACTTTTATTAACACTTCTGTGTAGTCCATGCCTTAATGATTTCTTCAGCAGCATCCAGTGTACTGTCTTTCTGTAAATAAATGAAATAATCTCATTACATATCAAATAAATTCAAGAGAAGTAAATCCTTAAATATTAAAAATATACCAGTCAATGGATCAGGAAAAGTCATGAAGTGATTTGGGAACTGGGTGCTCTTCAACCCCTGATAACTTGAGGAAGGCCCAGTTGGACTCTAGCTTGTCCTTGGCCTCTGCAGCAATGAACTCCAGAGTGTTTATTTGGAGGTCATGCCTTCAGATGAGTCATTGGAAGCCTTGCCTGTTTAAAGCCACAACTCTTGGAGGAGCATGGACAGAAACTGGAAAATGGCATCTGTAGCATCTTCCCATGCCTCGGTGGTCTACTACACAGGTCTGAAGCTCTTTAAGGAGCCCAGCAAAACAAACAAATTAATTATTTATAATGTTATATCCCATTACTGCCTGGCTGGAAAAGTGAATGAACCTAAGAATTCAATATTAGAGGAGCCTGAGAAGTGTGACACTGATCACTACATTATATTGTTTTGTGATACTGGCTGCCAATTTATTGCCACTATCCTGACACTAAAGAAATGTACAAATCAACTGGCATGTGGCCAAAAAACATCACGAAAAAAATGATCAACAAACTGTTAAATGCAGTTCAGACTGAAAACAGTTTAACTTGATCCCAGTCAAAACCACATCCACCAGTGTGGACACTCTTACTATTTATAACCATTGTAGCAGCCCAAGTAACCCGCGGTGCCAAAGAAGACCCAAGACTCATAAATGACATGATGCTGGAAGCGAGTCTGAGAGATGTGCTGATGGGATCAATACTTATTATTTTTGCTTTCTTGCCTCTCATCTCACCCCCTTTTGTGTATGACCTGACACGCCACATTATGTCCAGCTATAAGCTTGGGAGATTATAGGATTGAGACTCAATATCCAGTTGGGATATTTGAATGTCTTTAGGAAAGGAATTAATAAGGGTGAAATCCTTTCCATTTGAAAAATTGTGTGATATTTATTGATTGTGTTTACCGCCAACATTTATATCCAATGCTAAGATTTCTGAAAAAATTCTTTTTCCTTGCTGCTGATAAAAGTTTACTGAAAATGCCAGTTCACTAAAAGCACTAAAATCTGTAGTCTCTCCTTTGGTAAAATGACATTTACAAATATGAAGATAATTCTTTGACACACAATCATGGTGAATGGTATTACTAGTTGGCATTTGTTTGCCTAATTGAAAATAGGCAAGTTCAGCAAATTACAGCCATTATTCATTAAATTAAGTTTTGGACAGGTACTCTAATGATCTGTGGACTTTAAAATAAAGATAGATTTTGGTAAAGTAAAACATAAATAAACAGAAAAATATAAAACATAATAGTACTAAATGAAGATTTAAGTGAATATCTGATCCCAAGTGAAGAGAATTTTTCAAAGTAAAAATGAAAAGGCAGACCTACAAAAGGACAACAATCAAATTAATATATAGTTATAGAAACAAATCAGAAAGTATAGAAGAGCTTACACAGAATAAGAATCATCTGTTCCTCCTCTCCTTACTCCTTTCCACTATGCCCACCATGCCAAGACAACCTTTTATGACAACTTCTGGTTTTAGTTCTAGTGGTTATCTCCAAGATGTAATTAATGCATTTGGTTCTATTTCTTTCTTTCTTTTCTTTCTTTTTTTCTTTCTTTCTTTCTTTCTTTTTCTTTCTTTTTTTTAAATTTTTATTTATTTATGATAGTCACAGAGAGAGAAAGAGAGAGAGGCAGAGACATAGGCAGAGGGAGAAGCAGAGGGAGAAGCAGGCTCCATGCACCAGGAGCCTGATGTGGGATTCGATCCAGGGTCTCCAGGATCGCGCCCTGGGCCAAAGGCAGGCGCCAAACCGCTGCATCGCCCAGGGATCCCCTATTTCCTTATTTATTGACTTCAGACAAAATTCACAATTCTCTGCTCTGAATGAGGAAAAATTGTTCACTCACATTACTATCCCCACTCCCTTCAATGTTTCAGTTATAATTACTAGTAAAATCCATTTGCTTTTTGAATAGGTATATTCATGGTATAAAATTAAACTGACAGATAAACAATGAAAATCAAGCTTTCGTTTTTCTCTTCTGCTTTTTCTACTTCTTTTCTCTTTCCTCTCTACAGAATGAAGTAATCGAAAAGCCATTAGGTGGGGCTGAGTGAAGCAGGTGTCCATATATGGAGGCAGGGGGGAGCCCAGGCAGCCTGGTGCAGGATGTTGCAGCCAGAGTGGAGTAAGGAGGGTTTCCGATGTGGGTGGCATGAGGTGTTGGTGATGGCAGGGGCGGTGTTGACTAGAACAGGATGTTGGAATCCAAGCTGGGTAAGCCAGCATCTGTATGGCAGGGTGGCTCCGTGCAGGATGTTAGAACCTAGACAGGATGATGCAGGCATCTGCCAATGTAGACTGGCACAGGGTGTCAGAGCATATGAGGGGTGAAGGATTCCATGCAGTGGGTGACAGTGCCAGGTGTGAAGTGCTGGAGAGTCGGAGGAGGGAATTTCTGCAAGACGTGACAGCAGTAGCAGTCTAGCACAAAGTGTCAAAGCCTGAGCGGGGTAAAGGATGTCCATCAGGGGTGGTGGCTGGAGGGGGAGTGGCCCATACAGAGAGAGAGTGATTCAAGAAGTGATTCCATGATGAGAGCCAGGGTTTTTCACTGTCAAAGAAGGGAGTTACAAATATGGAAAATCCTTGAGCATAAGTCATTCAAAATGTGCAAGTAAATCCACAGAAAAAGATCCCAGAAGTAGAACTTCTGTGTCAAGACGTAGGTGCGTTTACATTTAGATGGGAATGGCCAAACTAACCACTGTTAAGAGATTTTATAAATTATACCCCCACTCTCTATAGCAATGTCTTATGGAACTTTTCAGTTGTTCAGTTGTTTCCAATCTAATAGATAACATACAGTTTTGTTGCAGTTTTAATTTTCATTTCTTGTAATATGATTAAAGTGAGATATCCTTTCATATATTTGATAGTTGCTGAGGATTTTACCCATAACTACTGTAAAGTGCTGTTTTGGCTCATTTTGCCTTAAATTGAACTTACTTTCTTTCAATTTCCATTTTCTAGGCATGTTTTGCCATTCTTTTATTTTTAGCCTTTCCAAGAGGGTGAGTCAGGTATGTTAGCTTTCCCTAGAGACCTCTTGCTATGGCTTTCCTATCTTCCAATATCAAGTGTTGATGTAAAGGGGGTGTGTCCACACTGATCCTCTTACCCTGCCCCCATGAAGGCTTTGGTCTTTTTGTGCAGATGCTGAAGAATTCTTTATCTTTTAAGTCCAATGTATTCTAATGTTAATTGTTCTGTGACAGTTTTTTCCTGAGACAAGTCATTTCCTTTCAATTGCTAGATTTGTCTTTTTTTTTTAATGGAAAACATTCTTAAAATAAAGCTATAAAAGTCTTTTTAAGTTCCATTTGTTTCCCCACCATGGGATTCTACATCTATGATTTTTCTAATACTTGTTAAAATCATTGTTCTTCTCTATTTTTTTTTGCTCCCTTTTCTTAATCCTTATCATGCCTACAGAAGTATTCACTGTTCTCTGTGCTGTTTCCAATGTCACTACAATTACCAATAGCTTCATTGTTTTCCTTCAGTTTTGTGCCTGAGCTCTGACAAGTTGCCATTTCATCTTTTTTTTATCTTTTTTTTTTTAAAGATTTTATTTATTTATTCATGAGACACACACACACACACAGAGAGAGAGAGAGAGAGAGAGAGGGCTAGAGAAATAGGCTGAGGGCGAGGCAGGCTCCCCATGGGGAGCCCAATGCAGGATTCAATCCCAGGACCTTGGGCTCACAACTTGAGCCAAATGCAGATGCTCAACCACTGAGCCACCTAGGTGCCCCTATATTATCTTCTTATATTATCTGACATTATTTTCCCTGAACTTTTTAAATCTCTACTTTAATCTCATTTTAAAGGTTTTGGATTTGAACTATCAGTTTTTATTTGCTCTTATAGCAACATTTTTCTGGCCAAATATTCTCTTTCCGACACTTGGTTTTCCTTGTACCTTTCTCCTTTTTTCCTAATAGTATATTTTACAGATTCACAGCTGATTCCTTTTCATTAGTTATTTTTTATTGAATTACCTTTGTAATCTCCTACTGCTAGTACACCTACTGTTCCTATTGTTTTGGGTAATGAATACCACCTACTGACTTCGTTTATGATTTGAAGACTTAGCTACAGATATGTGTAAGGGAGGAGCCAGGGTAGCACTAGAGGACTGCAGAAATCCTCCTTGGCTCATAGTAAAATTTAATAAGATTGATGTGGATTTCAGTGGTAAGAAGGGGATATATATTTTTCTTTCCTCTCGGCTAATTTTAAGTGGCTACTTCCAATTTAATCTATCTCCTCCACATTGCTCTAACATAGCTTGGAGCAAAAATGACAGGAGTGAATGAGAAAATCTATGACCCAACCAGAATCTCCTTTCCACCCTGCTCCACTTTAGATTATATAGCTGTATGTTTCTATCCTGCCTTGCATGATGCTAAATGAGTCCGGAGAAGCTCCCACTGCCAGTGTACTTATATACTTACTGTCTTATTGTTCTAGATGAGTAGGTTGCCTCCTGGCTCTGGTTATAACTTGAAGATGTAGACACAAGAGACTTTCTAGGTGTCTTCCCTTAACCTTCATTGTACTTGGCAACTCTTCTTCATTTACTGGGAATTTGTGAATCTGTTTTCCATTCTCCTACTTGTTTTTAATAATTTTCAAGAAGAGAATGGGGAAGGGCTGTGTTTATGATTTTTAAAACAGGAAATCTTGTTACTTTTATTAGTTCTGCTTATAACTTCAAAAGATACACCTCTATTTCTAGATCCACTGTAAGATGAGAATATTAATGGCCTTACTCTTTCTTCTACATTTTAGTCAATTAAATGTTGACATTATTAGATTGTTAACATATTTATTGTCTTCTGGATCAGTCTTCCAGAGTTTGTAGATTTGAGATTGTCTCTCAAAGCTGAAAACAATGTTTACATCATTCTGACTAGGTTAATAGATGAATGTGTTGGTAAAAAGAGTTTCTGGATCTTGTTGAGCCTGTCTTCAGTAGCAATCATATCTTAAAAATAGCAATAATGCATATATTCAGATTTTTGTTTTAGTACAGATCTGATGGTAAGCAATTCACTCAGCTTTCATTTGTCAGGAATGTTACATTTCATTTTCAGTTTTAAAGGTTATTTTCCTGAAAAAAGAATTCTGGGTTGATATATTCTTATTTCAGCACTTTGAGGATGTCATTTCATTGTATTCTGGTCTCTGTTTTTTTCTGATAAGAAGTTGCTAAATTCATATGCATGTGAGGTATAGTTTTTTTTCTGGCTGTTTACAAAATCTTACCATTGCCCTTGGTTTTCAGCAGTTTGAGTATAAAGTGTCTAGGTGTGGCTTTCTTTATATCCTGTTGTAGTTCACTTTTATTTTTTTAATTTTTTAGTTCGCTTTTATTTTTTTTATTTTTTTTTGTTCACTAACTTTTAGATCTCTAAGTTGCTTTTCATGAAATATGAGAAAATTTGAGCCATTACTTCTTAAAATACTTTTTCTGCCACATTCATTCTTTTTTTGGTACTCTAATTACATGTATTATCACATGATATTGTCTGATAGACCTAAGGCTCTATTCATTTCTTAAAAATAATTTTTCTGTTTTTCAGATTGGATAATTCTATGAATCTGTAATTCAAGTAAGCCCTTTTTTCTTGATATCCTCAATTCTCTGTGTTTGTTAAGCCCCATACATTTTTCATACAGATATTACATGTTTAAGTTCCGAATTTCCACTTGATTATGTTATAATAATTTGTTCTATGAATATATTTTCCTTTAATTTCTTGAACATACATACAGTATCTGCCTTAAAGTCCTTGTCTGCTAACTCCTATATCTGGGTCACCTTGTGATCTATTTCTACTGACTAATTTTTTATTAAGGGTCACATTTTCTTTTTTTCTTATGATTTCATTTATTTTTTTTGAGAGAGAGCGAGCGAGCTAGCAAGTGAGCACAAGGAGTGGGAGGAGGCAGAGGGAGAGGGAGAAGCAGACTCCCCACTGAGCAGAGAACTGGACTCAGGGCTTGATCCCAGGACCCTGGGTCATGACCTGAGCCAAAGGTAGACACTTAACAGACTGAGCCACCTGGGCACCCCAAAGGCCACATTTTCTTATGTCTTCACATGTTTAGTAATTTTTGATTGCATGCTTGACACTGTATTGTTACACGGCAAGGAGTCTGATCATGCTGTAATACACAGTACACTCAACACTTCAAAGTGTTGGGTTTTGTTCTGGTGGGCAGTTAATTTCATGGCAGCAGGCCAAAATTTGAAAACTGCATATAACTACATCATTCCTAAAAATAGAAAAAAATGCTTTAAAAATGCTTTATAAATCAGAAGGAAGGACATCATAAATGTGTTTTGGAATAGAACAAGGAACTTACTTTAATGAAGCAAAATCGCACAAACTTCTCAAACTGTAACTTGGTCTCTGCATTACAGAATGCTGAAACTGGAATGGCTGACAGTTTCTGAAAAATAAATAGAAAAGTAAAATAGGAAAACTACTTCTACTTCAAATGTATTTTTAGGATGTTAAATGTTAAAAACAAATAGATATTTCTAAATATGTACAACTTCCAAAAAGAAAAATGTTTTAAAAATCCTTCACATAGCCATAAGTGGAATATCATATTACAACATGTCAGCAAGTATCCTTCATAAATTAACCATAAAATATAGCACAGTATCTCAAAGGTCAATAAACACTACCTTATTTTTAGTCATCCATTTCACAAATTTATAATCATAAGGTTCATTGCTGTCCTTCATATCAGAGAGGTCTGCATCTAAAACAAAAATGAAAATTCAATGGTCTATGTATTATATGTGAGGGCAAGATGTATTTCATTTAAATCTGTCACAAGTAATAATATTCTCAGAAGATATTCACAGAATTTCCTGGAGTTTCATACTGTATGGTGAAGTAAAGAATTCACAGATAGGTTTTTTTTTTTTTTTTCAAGAACAGTTATTTTTATATTAATTAATTAAAAAAAAATTTTAATTAAAATTTTTTAGAGAAAAGGAGAGAAGAAGAGGGGAGAGGAAGAAATGAACTTAAGCAGACTCTGTGCTGGATGTGAAGCCTGACACAGGGCTTGATCTCACAACCCTGAGACCACGACTGAGCCGATATCAAGAGATGGATGCTTAACCAACGGATAGTATCAATCTCATTGTGCTTTTGTTAGAATGGAATATTTGTAAAGTTCTTAGTATAATACTAATTATATCATAAGTACTTGAAAAATATTAACCACTTGGCCACTGCTATGAATTGTAAAGGGAGTTAATTATTATGTTCATGAATCTTATGGTGTATTTTTATTTTCAAGGTACCATCAAAAGAAAATTTTGTTTCTTGCTTTTGTCTTTAGTAAATTGTGGGACCAACCTCTAGTATTTGTAAGAATTTTCACATTCAAATTAATCTGAACAGATGAAAAGAGTAAAATAAAATAAATTGTTCTCATATGTAGGAATATCTTATAGAAATTAACATTTTTCTTCCACAGGTGAAAAGGAAGTGACATCCCCCCCCCCCAATTATCATAAAAGGTTTTCTAACCAAAGTCCTTTCTGCTCCTATTACAACCACACATACTCGGGATCTGACACCTAAACTAGTATTTCAAGCAGGGTGGAATGACTGAAGATAAAATGGAAAACTATTTAAGAGCTTAATGCAATCATCCTAACAAAAGTTGCATTGCTGTCTTTTTGATGGTTAGAATTATACTGCAATGAATTCCTTTTAGCATTTACTATCTGGGGTCGCCTAGGTGGCTCAGCAGTTGAGAGTCTGCCTTCGGCTGGGGGCATGATCCTGGGGTTCTGGGATTGAGTCCCACGTCAGGCTCCCTGCATGGAGCCTGCTTCTCCCTCTGCCTGTGTCTCTGCCTCTCTCTTTCTGCGTCTCTCATGAATAAATAAAATCTTAAAAAAAAAAAAAAAGAATTTACTATCTGTAAAAGTTTGGTTCCAGGGAAGAATTATTCTTATCTAAAAATCTGTTAAGTTTCCCTTTATCCAAGAATTATGTAACTAATTCTATTTTCTTTTTGCCCTTGCAGCCACAAAGTTCAGTCCTAGGTTAAAACTATTCATAATACCATATGAACCTATATGAAAAATTTGCTTTCTCCCCATCCTATGTGACATTGATTTTCTATTATATACATTTACATACACACACATATATTATTACATAGAAAACTTTTTAATATAAGTTAGCTTAAATGTTTTTTGGAAGCAGATCAAAAATATAAATCGCTTATTTTAAAAATATTTCATGTTGAAAATCTTATGGATTTCCGATTCAAAAGCAAAACTAAAGGTGATAAAACAGCTTTTTCTTTTTTATCATTTCATGAAATGAGCTATATATTTAGACATGACATAGGGAAAGTGATTTCTAAACCTCAGAGTATAGGACATCTTAAGGGGTTTTATATAAGAATGGAGCTTGGGAGAACCAAATATATACAGCTTTCAGGCAATAGTACAGCAAAATTCTCTGGGCATCGTGGCTTCTGCTTCTCTCACAACAAATCAAAAAAATAATAGTCACAGTTTTGTTATAAAATCAAGTTCCCAGCCTTATAAAATTTGGTATATAAAAGGCTTTTCAAGTTCAGTGGAATATTAACTTTACTGTATTAGAAACTTAAAACAAGGGATGCCTGCATGGCTCCCTTGAGCGGTTGAGCATTGACCTTTGGCTCGGGGCGTGATCCTGGGGTTCCTGGATCAGGTTCTGCATTGGGCTCCCTGTGGGAATCCTGCTGCTCTCTCTGCCTGTGTCTCTCCCTCTCTGTGTCTCTCATGAATGAATGAATGAATGAATGAATGAATACAGAAAGAAAGAAAGAAAGAAAGAAAGAAAGAAAGAAAGAAAGAAAGAAAGAAACAAACAAACTTAAACTATTTGGCTATAACTTCTGTCAGAATAAATTATGCTTTTTTTTAATTTTTTTTTTTTTTATTTATGATAGTCACAGAGAGAGTGAGAGAGAGGCAGAGACACAGGCAGAGGGAGAAGCAGGCTCCATGCACCGGGAGCCCGACGTGGGATTCGATCCCGGGTCTCCAGGATCGCGCCCTGGGCCAAAGGCAGGCGCCAAACCGCTGCGCCACCCAGGGATCCCAAATTATGCTTTTAAATGTACTATTATTATAGTTTTTTTTAAGAAAATTAGTTCTATACAAAATGTTTCATGCTTCTAATTGTAGATTAGTATGGCATGTCAGAAGTACATAAAACAGCTTTAGGTAATATAAAGATGATTGCTTTTTGGAGACAAAACTATTTGGAATCTAGTTCTGTGACTTCAGGTAAGTTATTTAAAACTTCCCAAGTCTTCACATCTTTAAAAATGGAGCTAACAAAGCTTACTTCAAAAATGTGTTTGAAAATGCTAGGCATGTAGTAGAGTCTGAATAAACGTTATTTTCCTTCTTTACTTCATTTCAGTGTGTGTGTGTGTGTGTGTGTGTGTGTGTGTATATATATATATATAATGTATTTTTTAATTAAACATTTTTTTTTATTTTTACAACCCCACAGGCATCCAGGGGGTTCCCACCTGCCCAGCTCCACATTGAGATTTCAGTATATTTTAAAATAGCAAACATTCTCTGATAGCATCAACATTCTAGTAATCTTATTTTTCTTAAGTAGAAAGGAAACTAAAATTTTACTCAAAGAAACATTGGGTTCATATATTATTTCATGTAATTACATGCAAGAACAAGATGATAGCAAATTCTATGTGTTTTTTTTTTTAAGATTTTATTTATTCATTCATGAGAGACACACAGTGAGAGAGAGGCAGAGACACACATAGGCAGAAGGAGCAGCAGGCTCCATGCAGGGAGACTGACGTGGGACTCGATCCTGGAACTCCAGGATGATGCCCTGGGCCGAAGGTAGGCGCTAAACCACAGAGCCACCCAGGGATCCCCCAAATTCTATGTTTAATAGAATACCTAAAATAACTAACTCCATAGCCATGTTAACAATCACTTTAAGGTCAGGGACCTAAAACTCAAGATGATTATTAAAACAAACAAACACACTGGCATTGCAAAAAGCCATTTTTCTGTAGATAAAAAGCTGATATAGCTTTGACACCAATCTTTACTCCCTAATTCTAATATAATTTCACCCATAAGTTTCCATATATTTGAAATAATAAAAATTCTTACTAACCTAGCAAAGACACATCAGCAATGATGAAGTATCCCCCATCAGGAACTATAGGTTTTAGGCCAAGACTTTCAAATAAATGTATCATCCGATCTCTTTTTACTTCTAACTCTTTTGGCAAAGAATTAAAGTAACACTCTGGGTCATCCATGCGCTTGATGTCAATCCAAAAAGCTTGAGCCAAGGCTTCCTGCATTTTAAGATCGAAACATGTGGAAAGGAAATATGGTAATGTTATTTATTGCTAAGTTTATTGGTATAATAAAGACTGAAGTCATTCAGAGAATTAGAGTTGAATTCCTGTGAGCTTATATTAGACTGTATCAATTAATGGAGGAATCAGTTACATGTAAATGATTAAATCTGATGTGAAGAACTGAGAATGAGCCATGAAGATTCAAACTGAAGAAGAGGTATTGTATAAAGATGGCTTGCTTGGAATTGAAAAGATATATTATTTTCCGTTGAGGTGAGCTGTAGAATGACATGCTAGATCTAAGTCTGAAAGATGACCAGAGAAATGATGAACTAGCCAGCTTGTTCCCATTACCTTGGAGGATGCAGGGGAAATGAAAGCTGACCCACTGTGTCACTCCCCGTAGGTATGACATTCTAATCTGAATTCTAAGCATTCATATACCAGAACTATCTAAGTGCCTTAGCGATTAGAAAAGAGTGTCCGGAGTATGGGGAGTCACTTCTTTTTTTTTTTTTTTTAAGATTTTATTTATTTATTTATTTGAGAGAGAGGGAGAGGAGAGAGAGAGGGAAAATGAGGACAAGTGGATAGGAGAGGGAGAAACACTCCCCACTGAGCAGGGAGCCTGACATAGGGCTCCATTTCATGACCCTGGGATCACAACCTGAGCCAAAGGCAGATACTTAACTGACTGAGCCACCCAGGCCCCCCAGGCCCCCCAGGAGTCACTTCTCTATCATTCCTTAGGAAAGTCAGAAGTGGCAGGAGAGAAACTGGGCCAAGGGAAAAAACTGATGCTTTTAACGGTCAGGTAGGTGTCTGAGAAGGCAACAGGTCAGGGAAAGATAAATAAGTCTGAAACAGGACACGCATAAACAGGATCTGTACAAGCAGAAGGGCAGAAGCTTGATAGGAAAGTGTGAACTGAAATGACTTAGAAATACTGGTTCTCAGTGCAAAGAAGGAGACATAAGCAAATAATAAAGAACCTGGAATAGTTGAGGTAGAAGAATGCAGCAAAGTGGCTAAATTTTAAGGAAATTTATTAGAACCAAGAAATATCAAGAATTAAAGGATAAATTCATTCACCCAGTAAATATACACAGACTGAATACCAATATTAAATACTGGCATTGTGATTAAAAACTGGGGATATAATTGTAAACAAGATAAACATGGTCCTTGCTTTTACGGAGATTCCAGTTAATGTTTACTGGAGAGGTAAGTGGGAGGGATAAGGAAACAAATACATGAAAAAGGCAGGACCTTTTCAACAGTCTGTTCTGTTGAGAGAACGGAGTCTGGTGTGGCCAAAGAGTAGCAAGAGAACATGGTAAGAGATGACATGGAGAGACAGTGAAGGGTAAGATCACTGAGAAGACTGTATGCTAAAAGAAGCCAGCAGGAAAAAAGAATTAATAATAATTCCCAGGATTAACAAATTCTTAGATAAATAAGGATCAAGCTGTGTCAGCCTAGGAATCTGTGGTTCCCCTGGAAGCCTGAGCCCGTTTCCAAATAGTCATCTGAGTACATGGAAAATGCCAGACACTTAGCTAAAATGGAGGACCAGAGGGTCAGGAAAAGGTGTTCCAGATTCTTAGCTGCATCTTTCTTTTTCTCAGCAACTTATTCACTCCCCATAGCAGGAGATATTGCCCTAGAAAAGTCAAAGCTCAAGAGACATAAACATCTCTCCTAAGTATAGTATTATGTAGGACTTCCCTCTCTTTCTCATACCCTACATGTGACTAATGGCTAATACTGTCAACTCTACTTTCAAAATGTATTCAGAACCCCATCACGTCCCACCATTTCCCCATCCCTGTATTGGTTCAGTCACTGCTGTCTCTCTCCTGGATCGCTTCAACAGTGTTCTGACTCAATAAAGCAGCCAAATCCCTTTGATAGTACAAGTTAGGTCATGCCACTCTTGTGCTCAAACTCTCCAGTGGCTTCCTATCTCACTCAGCCTTTACAGTGACAAACGTGGCCTTATTTGATCTGGTTCCCAGCTACCCCTCTGATTTATTTCCTCCCACTCTTGTCCTTTGATCAACCCATCCCACTCTTGTGCTTTTCGTGGATGCAAACTGATAGCCAGCCTGCCTACCCCAAGGCCTCTGCACTTGTTGTTCTCATAGTCTGGAAGGTTCTTCCCTACATAACCCATGTCACTACTTAAGCTTCCCTACATAACCCATGTCACTACTTATGAACTTAAGTTCATAGTTCAAATGTCACCTTCTCAGTGAGGCTTTCAAAGATTACTCGATTTAATATTATATGTTATCCCCTTAGCACTGTAGCCAAAATCCTCTTTTGGCCTTTTAACTGCCTTCCAGAAAAAGACTTCTTTTTTTTTTTCTTTTGGTGTTCTGATTATTCACAGAATGATGATACATAGATCCCTGTTTTATAAATATATTTTTAAAAACACAGAAACAGTGTTAAAAAGATATACATTAGAAAGTCTTGCACCCACCCCTGTCCCTATGCACAAGAGTCAGAGTCATGTTAGAATGATATGACCATGAGCCGAGGAATGTGAGCAGTCCCTAGAAGATGGAAAAGACAAGGAACAAATTCTCCCGTACAACCTCTAGAAGGAACACCAGAATGCAGACACCCTGTTTTTAGCTAAGACCCATTTCAGATTGCTGATCTCCAGAACTTTAAGCCAAAAAATTTGTGCTAAGCCATCAAGTATGTGGCAATTTGTCACAGAAAAATAGGAAACTAATACAAAATTCACATTATATGTAAATGTTTGGATAAACCATGGTTTGTTTAATTAATTCTAAAGATGGATAATGACTAACTCCTATCTTCTGCAATAAATGGCCATATACATATAGAGCTTCTTATGTGTACAGATAATAGCCACTGGGTAAATTGCCAGAAGATGGATTGCTGCTTTGGGGGGTATGCACATCTATATTTTTGCTTGGTGTCGTCACTGTCCTTCACAGAATCTGCAGCACTTTGCAATCCCACCAGCAATGTACGAGGGTTCAGAGTTAAAACTTGATATATTTAAATAAACAAAAAAAATCTATTCTTGATAGCAACAAATACATGTCTGCTCCTAAATTCCCAAACAATACTAGCCGCCTGCCTCAAAAAGGTCATCATGGGAAGAACTAAGCCAATTTGAATACACAGCATAAAAAATAACACCTTTACCAAAAGACCATGCTTCAATCCCAAGTTACCATAAAACCTACCTGTAAAGGAGTCGCACAAGTATAAATGGTGTTTTGTTGAACTGTCTGTAAATGTTTTATCAAGTGATTAGGACCAATGGACCAGCCAAGCTGGAAAAGGAAAAGATAAAAAGCAGATTTCAAAAAACAAATCTAACTGGCTGTATCAGATCTGAGTAGCTCAGCTTAATGTAATTATTAAATATAGGCAAGCCTAAAATGTTCACACCATGAAAGTAATGCAGTATTAGTATTTACTCATCATTGCAACACTGTTCTTTAGCGGGAAAGTTTCCCACTGGACTAAACCTTGCCTTCAGAAGGTAAACAGTATCCTTAATCACTATTACCCTTTTCTTTCCTCATTTGCTACTTCTGATATTCTGAGGGTCTAAAAACTGTTAACAAAGCTTATCTGAATTACATAAAAGTAACTCTGGATGAGGGCCGTAGGGACTCTTCCATAACTTGGTTCTGCAGGCTCCATTTTTGATACTCCCTGCTTCTTGACCATGTTCAGGAGATGCCAGTTGGCAGACAGCCAAGTTTCAACTGGGTAAATTGCTATTGTATTACATAGTGCAGGGCTCAAGTTCGGGGATTCTGAAGCCAGACTGCCTGCACTGGCTTGATTTGATCAGCAATATAACCTCAGGCAACTTACTTACCTTCTCTGTAGTAGTTTTATTGCCTGTAGAACAGGGGAAATAAGTTATACTCACCTCATAAGGCCATCATGAGAATGAGCATGTGTAAAGCACTTAGAACTTGGCACATGATAAGTGCCAAAATATTAGCTATTATTGTTTTTTCTCCTTTTATATTAACATGCAATAATCTGAACATTCTTTGCAAAGAAATGAGTGCCATTAGTTCATTACTTATAAAATGAAAAATTACCTATTTTCTCTGCCATTTGCAATGACATGAACGGAGCCTGACAGTATTAAGTGAAATAAGTTAGTCAGAGAAAGACAAATAACATATGATTTTACTCACACGTGGAATTTTTGTTTTTTTAAAGATTTTATTTATTTATTCATGAGAGACACAGACTGAGAGAGAGAGGCAGAGACACAGGCAGAGGGAGAAGCAGGCTCCATGCAGGGAGCCCGATGTGGGGCTCGATCCCAGGACCCCAGGATCACACCCTGAGCCAAAGGTAGGCACTAAACCGCTGAGCCACACAGGGATCCCCTCACACGTGGAATTTAAGAAACGAAACAAATGAGCATAGGAAAAGAGAGAGAGAGAAAGAGAGAGAGGGGCAAACCAAGAAACAGACTCTTAACTATAGAGAACAAAGTGATGGTTACCAGAGGGGAGGTAGGTGGGGGATGGGTGAAATAGGTGATGAGGATTAAGGAGGGCACTTGTGAGGAGCGCTGAAGTTGTATGGAGGTGCTGAACCACCATATTGCACACTGGAAACCAATATTATACTTTATGTTAACTAACTGGAACTTGACATAAAAACTTTATTATTTACTTATTTATTCATGAGAGACACAGAGACAGAGAGGCAGAGACATAGGTAGAGGGAGAAGCAGGCTCCTCACAGGGAGCCTGATGCGGGACTTCATCCCTGGACCCAGCATCACGCCCTGAGCTGAAGGCAGATGCTCAACTACTGAGCCACCCAGGTGTCCCAAATAAAAACATTCTTAATAAAAAAACGATCAGGTCTCAAAAAGGATAAAGGCCAACATGAAAGCTAAATTAGTAAATAATAAGGGAAAGATCAAAGTCTAAGTCTAAAAACTTGTGTAAACTGATTATATACGCATTTAAAACACACCATACAAAAACTCTATAAGCAATAAAATACATGCCTGTTTTAAAGCAATCACATTCTTTTGCATCTTACCTTCCAACCAGTTACACTGAAAGTCTTTCCAGCACTTCCTATTGTTATTGTTCTCTCCCACATACCTGGAAAAGTAGCTAAATAGGAAAGAGAGAAAAAATAAGGTTACGTAATTGCTTTCCAGGCAATATATATTCAGTATAATCTAAAAACGTAACCATAGAGTCATCAGTGTATTTCAATAGGTTTTTAAACTATCGTGTAACTTTAACCCAAACACAATTGAAAATGTTACAGTGCTTTAAAAAACACTGTAATATCTGATAGATTAGATAATTTTAAGGAGCAAAATTACTTCCAGGGGCAGGAGTGTCAGTAAGCAGGGTTCCCGGCAGTGGTTGCACAAGCTGTGGCACCCAGGGCTCAGTGTCAGTGGTAGCTGCGCATTCAATATTCTCTTCCTGTGCCAATGTTTTGGTTATGGGTCCTGGCTATTGTTTACTCACCTCTACTCTGCCCATTTTCTGAGTCTGTTTCTCGAGGATTCCTAAGGCAATAGTTTTTAAAATGTGGTCCCCACACCAGCAATAGCAGTACCAGTGGGGAACTAGTATGGAAGGCAAATTATTGGACTGCATCCGAGACTTACTGAATCAGAAACTCTGGGGGATAGGGCAATCTGGGTGTGCATGCGCGTGTGTGGTGTATGCGTGTTTCACTAACACCTTTGAAGTATAAGTTCCACACCATAAAATCTACTTCTTGAAACTGTTTAATTCAATGGTTTTTAGTACATCTGCAGAGCTGGGCAACCAGTTTTAGAATATTTTTTTCACCCCAAAAGAAGCCCATACCTTTTGGGTATCACCCTTTAATATCTCCATGGCCAACAGCACAAGAACCTGTGCCTGAAAGGAGCCACAATGCACACCATGGCCTTCTTACCCTTAGAAATATTAGCCAGCATTTCAGCACTACACTTAGGGTCTATTTTAAACAACAAAATCACCATGAAAAGGATACTTGTTTATGTATCAGTGGAAATAAGAAGGCAGAGTGTTGCCTTGTTGATCTCAACTGAGAACATGTGTATCGGGTGACTCCAATTTCTTACCCCTCTCTGTATGTCTATGAACAAAGTGCCAAGAGTATTGACTTTGGGGTTAAAAATCTACTTCAGTGAGTAGGGCATTCACAAATATGGATTCCACATATAACGAGAAATGACTGCATAAAGGTTTTCAAGTTGATTGATATCTTTAACAAAATCATTCCTTCGTGTACTTAATAACTTATCAAACACTAATTAGCAATGACCAGGTGCCAGGGACTAAGTCAGATCTAGAGGAGTTTAATGTCTAGTGGGGGAAGGGGAAAAGTAAAATAACAATCATAATACAGTGAGGTAAGTTCTGTAATCACATGGACTGTCACACAAAAACAGAAGAAGGTGTTAGGAGTAGCTTTCTGCAGCCGGTGATGCTTGAGCTGAGACATGGAAGACCATATAGACTTTGCCAGTCACAGAAGGGGAAGAAAGGTATTTGGGATAAAGGGAATGAAGGTAACAAAGTCATGGAGGTACAGAATGTAAAAGCTTGTGATTTTTGCTGGGCATTGATAAATGATGCCCTTGTTAATCTTTTGAGAATGCTACTTACACTGCTCTTTGGATTCCTCAAGTAATTTAGTTGTGAAATTCTTCACATGCAATTCCATGAGCTTTTCACTTGTTTTTTAGACGTACGGTAGAAACACCTATGTTGTTCTAAGAGTGTTAAACACAAAGAGAAAACAAATAGCCGTATCTGTGTGGCCTAAGCTACGGTTTTCTTAGTCTCATATGCAAGTAAAGTGCCTACTAAAATGTACGGTAGCTAAAGAAATTTCCAAAATGGATTCATACATAATCTCAGTCCACTGTGAAACATCTGCCAATATTTGTGAAGGTAGGAATATTATATAAATCCAAAAAGTTATGGTTGTATTTTCTGTGGAGTATCCAAAAAAACAAAAAGATAAATGAAAATATTTAGAGGATTGACTTGAAGAAAGAATATTCTAACATTTGATATTAATTATCATATCCTTTCAAACTTTAGGACATTTCTAGTCTTCCAAAGTAATCTAAAAGAATTTCATGATACATGTCCCACCTATTTGATGGGAGAAAAATATAAATGACATATAATGCAGAGTATTACCTTCTTTAAAGTAATAATATAGGGGCACCTGAGTGGTTCAGTCAGTTAAGTGTCCAACTCTTGATTTTGGCTCAGGTCATGATCTCAAGGTTGTGAGATTAACCCCTGGATGGGGCTTCATGCTGAGTGTGGAGCCTACTTAAGATTCTCTTTCCTTCTTCCTCTGCCCTACCCCCCACAACGTCACTTGCACACTCTCAAAAAAATAAACGAGGGGCACCTGGATGACTCAGTGGTTGACCATCTGCCTTTGATTCAGGTCATGATCCTGGGGTCCTGAGATCAAGTCTCAGAATGGGCTGCCCACAGGGAGCCTGCTTCTCTCTCTGTGTCTCTCATGAATAAATAAATAAAGTTTTTTTTAATTTTTATTTATTTATTTATGATAGTCACAGAGAGAGAGAGAGGCAGAGACATAGGCAGAGGAAGGAGCAGGCTCCATGCACCGGGAGCCCGATGTGGGATTTGATCCCAGTTCTCCAGGATCGCGCCCTAGGCCAAAGGCAGGTGCCAAACTGCTGCGCCACCCAGGGATCCCCATAAATAAAATTTTTAAATGAATGAATGAATGAATAAAAAGAGAAATAATATATATTCCAAACCAGGAAATAATAAGAACAATATTTAGAAAAAAATTCTTTGAAAATAACAATCACCCAGAGAAATGAACACAGTCCTAACATGTTTTCGTGATAAATTATATACAAAGGGAATCAAAACTACTTACATGTCAAATGTAGGGTTTTTTTTTCCCAGAAAATATCAAGTTATAGGCATAATATTTTTAAAAAAAGGGTTAAGTCATTTGGATGATTATTTTAGCCATCTGAGAGTGGATGACTTTTTTATTCAGCAGTAAACTGATCGACTGAATAACTTACAAAGAATTTTATACTAATTATCCAGATGCTAGAAGATTCATATATCAATATCAATGTATTAATATAATTTTTTTCTAGAGAGGGTTGTTTTTTTTTTTTTTTTTTTTTTTGTTAACCTTTCAGTCAGAAAGGTTATTTTACAGAAACCTGGAGACATCATTTGAATCAATCTGATCCAGGAACAAATTCTACTACTTCAATAAAAAGGGCCCTAAGGAATCTTAAAACATACGGATGTTCATGTCCTTTCCATCTCAGAGATTTGGGGAGCTACAGAAATTCATGTAAACAGAGCAGAATACCACAGCATTGTCTGTGAATCTACAGACCGTTTTACAAAAAAAAAACTGCAGGTCTGATCATTTAAAAAAATGCCTAGGGGCACCTGGCTGGTTCAGTTGGTAGAGCACGCAACTCTTGATCTCAGAGTTGTGAGTTCAAGCTCCATGTTGGGTGTTGTGATTACTTAAAAACAAAAGCAAAAATAAAAACAAAAAAAGCTAGGGGCACCTGGCTGGCTCAGCTGGAAAAGCATGACATTATTGGTTGTGAGTTCAAGCCTCACAATGGGTGTAGAGATTACTTAAATGAATATATAAAAACAAAATAAAACCAAACCCAAAACACCAGTTATAGTGTTGGTATGCTTGCTCGCATTTATATCTGAACGGCAACTAATTGTTCTTTGCACTTCTCATCTATGACCCATGATCCTTAAATCAGCCACGGCAGCTAGATGAGTCATTCACAGGTGGCTTAGGCTTCAGTGGAAGTCAGATAAAGATTAGAGACACGAGGATGAGTGCTACCCCAGGGAAAACTCTCAGTGAAAGCATGAGGATGATGTTAATTCATGATGTATGGCTAGAAAGCCTCATTGTGTTATATTAAAGAAATACTATCACACTCTGCAAATTGATGAAATAGCCATTTTGCATCTTTCGTGTAACAAAGGCCACTGTATTTGATAGAATAGCTAAGTTTTCATGGAACCAAACTGTACTTTCTAAATAATTTTTTTTTGCTTATGGGCTGTTATAACAACTAAAAATTCTGAGTTAATAATGTATGTCTTGATATCTTCAGCAAGTAATATCTGCTACATTTCTACTATGATGGCTTCTATAACATGAGGTTTAAACAGTGTAATAAAGGTTCAAATAATAAATCTCAAGATCATTTATCTTTATTTTTAAACTTTTTAAAGGAAGATTTTATTTATTTGAGAAAGAGAGTGTGTGCACATACAAGGGGTAGAGGGAGAAGCAGACTCCTTGGTGAGCAGGGAGCCCGATGCAGGACTCCATCCCAGGATATCAGGATAATGACCTGAGCTGAAGGTAGATGCTTAAGTGACAGAGCCCCCCAGGTTCCCAAGATCATTTAAAGTTATCTGTTGGAAAAATATTGCTAAACTGAGTTAACTAAAACTCTAAAGATTTGAGGGATTATTGCATAGACATGGACATATGTTTTATGTTAAATAAAAACTGTATTCATAAATTAGATGCCTATTCCTCTCTCTGCTTAATTATTGAAGTTACAAAAAATGAGTTGTCCATATTGATCTGATTTTTGCCCAGAAATAGTTCAAATGACCTCAGAGATCATCGAAAAGAAGGGTGAAGATGAACTCTATTGCAATTTGACACATAACAGCAGTTTGCTGTGTCAAAGCACCACCACACTTTGCAAATCTCTGGCTGTCTTCTGTTTATCCAGTCTTTCTGACAAAATGCTCTTCTGTGGGTTCCACCATCAACAAAATTTTGTTGACTGACAAAACTGTTTCCCCTCATAATTCGATCCTATCAGGCCTATAATTCCACTTGTCTCCAGACATCTCCATGTCTCACAGACACTAAAACTTAGCAAGACTAAAGCATGAGAGGCAGGAATATTCCTTACTCCTCACAGATCTCCTCCTGAGCACATCTCCACCTCTGCTTAAGAGCCTCATCATTGCCAAGGGGGCCGGACCAGAGGTCTCAGAATCATACCTGCTTGTTCCCTTCCCATCTACAAATGCTATACTCTCTCCTACCCCCGCCCATTGTTTTGACTATTAAATAACCCACAAGCATCAACTCTACTGCTAGCAAATCTGACTCATTTCAGATCCTCACCTATACCGGTTTTTAGCTTTATAAAACAAATCCAATCGGGATCCCTGGGTGGCGCAGCGGTTTGGCGCCTGCCTTTGGCCCAGGGCGCGATCCTGGAGACCCGGGATCGAGTCCCACGTCGGGCTCCCGGTGCATGGAGCCTGTTTCTCACTCTGCCTGTGTCTCTGCCTCTCTCTCTCTATCTGTGTGACTATCATAAATAAAAAAATAAAAATAAAAAAATAAAAATAAAACAAATCCAATCACATAACCAATTCCCCTGCCTTGGCACACCTCTTGTAGCAGTTCTCAAAGTACGCTCATTAGAACTTTGGTGATCAAATTAATGTGGATAATTCTTTTTAAATCAATTTTAAGTTTTCTTCCATGAAATTTTCTTAAGCACTTAAAATAAGTACTATTTATCTGATAGTGTATGCTACCATCAGTGAAACAAATGAACATTTAGCAAGTAAATACTAATGGCAAAATTAAAAAAAAAACAAAACCTCTGATGTATTTATTTCAATGGCTCTTTGTTATAAATATGCAGTGAACTGTGATTCTTATATTGACTTTCATTTTTAAAAATTTTTAAAAAGATTTTATTTATTTATTCATGAGAGACATGGAGAGAGGGGGGGAGAGAGAGAGAGAGGCAGAGACACAGGCAGAGGGAGAAGCAGGCTCCATGCAGAGAGCGTGACTTGGGACTCGATCCCAGGTCTCCAGGATCATGCCCTGGGCTGAAAGTAGCGCTAGAACGGTGAGCCCTTATACTGCCCTTATACTGACTTTTAAGAAAAATTATTTATGTTAGGGAGAGAGAGAGAGAAACAGCGAGAGAGCGAGCATGTTTGCATGCTCAACTGGGGAAAAGGACAGAGGGAGAAAATCTTCAAGCAGGCTTTCCACTAAGCATGGAGCCCCACGCAGGGCTCAACCTCACAACTCTGAGATCATGACCTGAGTCAAAACCAGAGCTGGATGCTCAACCCACTGAGCCCCTAATGAATTCTTCTAATTATTAAATTCCTGTTAGGAAAACTGCTTTTTGTGGTGGAAGACAATATATCCTTATTTCAAGATGTGAACTTTGTGGCTTTGAGGTGCTCTCTATTGAGGCTTTGGGCTTCAGAACCATTGACCCCCTCCACCAGTTTAAGCTCTGTTCTCATATTCAAGGCTGTCCGAATTACCCCTACTTTTCCATTATCATCTGTTCCTGTTATATTCTTATAAACCACTCGTGCTATATCTTGACCTGTTATATCTCCTTGCCTCATATCTGATATGAATTTTCTTTCTACCTCTCTGCTTAAACAAATTCCATCTTTTGCCCACTCCTTTTTTGATGCCCTCAAGCACTTGCTTTGTCCTATTTCTACAACTTATAATGCACCATAGGGATAATTATGATATATGCAACTATTGATATATAAGTGCACTAATTTTTTTATTTATTGATTTCTGTGACAGTGATTTTAATTTCCCTTTCCTTTTTCATTTCTATTCATTTATTCATCAGTTGCATTCTGATCATCTGATCATCATCACGTGCAAGATCCTCTCCTGGAAACTGGAGATTCAGAAGACACGAAAACAAACAGAAATCACTATGTTCTAGCAGGTAGAAGTAAACAATATAGATCTTCACATTCATTGTAAAGGAAAAAACAGAACAGGAAGAAAAAAAAAAGCAAAGCAATGCTGCAAGAAAAAACTTGTAACTATCTTAAGTGTGGCCATAAAACAGGCATCTGAATAAAACCCTGGGGGAAGTGAGAGACTGAGCCATGTGGATATCTAGGGGGAAAAGTGTTTCTGGCACCGGAAGGGCAAGTGCAAAGATTCAAAGTCTGCAGCCTAGCATACAGTCTTATAGTTGATATCAGTTTGAACAACTCCAGAAGACACTGAAGCACTTGTGAGATGGCCAAGTAGTGATGAAGAATTCCCAGCCAAGAATCAAGGATCAAGCAGCAATAGCTTACTGGCCCTGCAATTTTCTCCTGTTGATTTGGCATTTTGGCAACCTGCTCAGCATAGACAGTCCTGCTTGGGAACAAGTAAGCTCCCTGTATCTTATGTACCAAATCATAGATGGATTCTTGATAAAAAGCCAAGGATATAGCTCAGAGTATGCCTTCTCTGGTTTCATAGCTTTATAGTATGATCCAAAAATCTCTTCCCCTTAGTTTATACTCCTTGTCCTTCAATCTGTTTATTAATTCACTCAAGCATCATTTATTCAAATACCATTTAAGTGCTCATATGGACAGCTACCCATTGCAAGGACTATTTTAAAGCTGTTCTGGGATCCATTCCAATCAGTTGTTCCACACGTGCCCAAACACATTTAGATTTGTGACTCTATGTAATAACCAGTACCTATTTTTAAATGCTTATTTCCAGTATATACAAGCCATTCATAAACCTCATCACTGATGCAGAGTGTGTCATATTTGATGCAAAGGTCAGCAATTATTTGGAGTTCCTCTTTGGTATATACCTATATGTATAAAGAAAATAAGAGAGCAGAGCCAATTATGATTAAACATGTGAGAAAATGATAGGTCAGAAGCTGTAAAAAGAGATCAAAGACTCACCTTGCCAATGGGGTTATGTGGAGTATTCAGTATAATGGCTTTGGTTTTAGAATTAAATTTACTTGCCAGTTCTTGAGGATCCAAAGTCCAGTCAGAACTAGACCATTTTTTCCCATCAACAGGTTTCTAATTAAGAATCAAAATGTGATTTAATTCAATTAATTCATGTTTGCTAAAAAAAAAAAAATTCATGTTTGCTGTCTTACAAATAAATAACCTAACTGGGAAAAATATTAGAGAAAGGTAAGGCAAAGGTAACTGAATACATGACTAACAAAGAAAATAAACAGAAATCACTAAGCCTGGTGAGCCCAAGAGGACTTGAGTCTCATGCTCACACATATTAAATGTGAAAATAAACTCTGTCCACATAAACAGCTGTTAAAGTATCTGTATTCCTTCAAAGGAGCCAGCTATTACTATGGTTAACATGTTTAGTACTGTAAGGCTAATATAAGAGTCTGTGATTCACCTCATGTATTATTTATTTTAGTAAGATTTTTAAAAAGACAGTGGTAGCCCACTTTATTAAATTCCTAAAAATAATAGCAAAAAAAAAAATAAAAAAATCACTTCATTCAGAATTCAAAAAGCATTTATGGAGCACCCAGCATACACCATACACTGTTAGTCACTGGGGAGTGGTGCTATAAAAGTGAGTTAGAAATGGTTTCTGAGCTGGTGGTGCTCATGTTGATGGGGGAGCCACATAACTACAAAAGATAACATTACATATAATATGAATGCTAATACAACAGAGACACATAGCAAACACAGGATAAAGTAATAAAAGTTGCCCTTTTGAAGATGTTGATTACCCTTAGCCTAGTAGAGATACATAATAAATCCCAAAATGAAAACAAAGTAGAAATTTTATCAGGGACAAAGTAATTATATATATTTTCAAAACGCCTTAAAGCATGTGAATGGTACTGGCAAACTTACAGATCTTAGGGGAATAAAAACAGGTGTTCCTCCAGCCATTCTCACCATTGGCTCATAGCAGTCATAGAAAGGCACTATTATTATGACCTAAAATAAAACCAAATAAGAAAATAACATATCAATTATTCATTCATTAAAAAAATTCTGTGTACCTACTATGTGTAAGGTATCATACTACATGCTGAGATGCAGCAGTGAAAAAGCTGGCCTTCCTTGTTTTCATGGAGCTAACGGCCAAATGGAAGAGACCTTTTTTTTTTTTTTTTAAGAGACACACAGAGAGAGAGAAAGACAGAGAGAGAGAGAGAGGCAGAGACACAAGCAGAGGGAGAAGCAGGCTCCATGCAGAGAGCCCGACGTGGGACTTGATCCCCAGTCTCCAGGATCAGGTCCTAGGCTGAAGGCAGCACTTAACTGCTGAGCCACCCAGGCTGTCCAGGAGAGAGAGAATCTTAAACAGGTTCCATGTCCAGCCTGATGGGGAGCTTGATCTTACAACCCTAAGATCATGATCTGAGTTGAGATCAAGAGTTAGGTACTTGGGGATCCCTGGGTGGCTCAGCGGTTGAGCATCTATCTGCCTTTGGCCCAGGTGTGATGCTGGAGACCCAGGATGGAGTCCCACATCGGGCCCCTTGCATGGAGCCTGCTTCTCCCTCTGCCTGTGCCTCTGCCTCTCTCTGTGTGTCTATCATGAATAAATAAATAAAATCTTTAAAAATAAATAAACCTTAAAAAAAAAGTTAGGTACTTAACCAACTGAGCTACCCAGGCGCCCCTCTTTTGAAACCTAGTAATATTTCATGAAAATTTCATATTATTATAGTTTTAATATTTGTTATTTTAATGGCTATTTGGGAGTCTTCTGAATTCTAGAATAGTTTTTTTTTTTTTTTTAATTTGCTTGGATAAATAACAATGCTGAGGTGCCTGGGTGGCTCAGGTGGCTGAATGTCGACTCTTGATTTCAGAATCTTTGTTTGTTCCCTTTGGGAAGAGATCTTTCCCTCAGGTGGACTGTAAGTTCTTAATTAGTCTGTGAAATTCTCAGGGACCAGGATGACCTATCTTTGAACTCTGGTGAGAAACACAGTGCCTGATTTGAAGTGAGAGTTCAATAAAGGAAAATAAATTGGGGAGGCAAGGAGGTAAAATTGAAAGAATATACTTGACACTCTTTGCCGTAATTTCTTTATTTTTATGATGGGAATAATTCCCCTCTCTTTTTTTAAAGAGTATTTACTGAGCACTGAGTATTTTAGGGACTGGCAGTACAGCAATAAACTGGTTCTCTTGGAACTTATATTCTACAGAGAGACACAATAAACCAGAAAAGACAGAAGTAAATTAGATAATTTCAGATACTAATAAATGCTATATAGAATACAAAACAGGTCAATGTGATAGAAAGTGATCAGATACAGTGATCAGGGAAGAATGAACAAAGAAAAGAAGGTCAAGGGCTGAGCCTCTAGATGCTCCAGCAGAGTGCAGAAGGAGGACGCAACAAAGGATTAACAACATCAAAGAATGAGATAAAACTTCCAACTAGTTTATAGGATTAAAGGAGATTACGTATATGAAAGTATACCTATACTTCCTTAAGATGTTGCCTTAAGTAGTTTATTGTCTGGCATAGTAGAGGGAATTAGAGATGTAAAAGAATAACATAATACAAAGTTAATAGCAGTATCTTTTATATAAGAGGCACAGATAAAGTGCCGTGAGAGCTCAAAGAAAGGAATTAACAACAACACAGATCAGGGTAAATATTCATTCCTCAGACTCTGCTTAAGCAATGCCTCTCTGGAGTTTTCCAGGCCTGCATTAGCAGAGCCATCACCACCATAACTTACACATTCTCCGTTACTATTACATGCATTCCTATTCACCAGTTTGCCAGTATCTCTTCTACTAGTGGGGAACTCCTTCCACACAGACTTAAAAAAAAAATCTCCCATGGTGCCTAGTACAGGAGATCCTCAGTGATTTCTGAATGAATGAAGAGGTCAGAAAATACTGAAGCAGAGGTATTGGAATGATAATGGGGACATGGGAGCAGAGACTGAATTTGGGGCCATGTGGGTCATAGCACTAAAGCAAAAATCACTCATCCTTTTTGTTACACATGGTGCTGCTAACAATGCCAGGCACAAAAACACACTAACCAAGTGCTTGCTGATTGAGTTCAGATAAGGGTAATTTTAGTAGTGCAAATGAAAGAGCCATTTTCCCCATCATTGCTAGCCCCTTCCAGTTACCCTTATCTAAACAGGCTGTAAATATAAGAATGAGTCACATGCAACAAAATAGATGAATCTCAGAGACATAATGATAAATGAAAGAAGCCGTTCAAGAATACATACTGTGTGATTCCATTTATATCAGGTTAAAGAGCAGGTAAAATGAGCCTATGGTGATAGAAGATAGAAGAGTAGTTACCTCTGGGAGAATATAAACTAGGAAGGGGTAAAAGGGAGCCTTTTGGGTGCTGGAAATGTACTGTATCTTCATCTGGTATGTGGTTACATGGATATACACACACACACACACACATAAATATACACATGTAAAAAATTTATCAAGCTGAATACTTAGTATCTATGAATTTTACTTGTGTGTACTACAAAAATTATTAAAAAGAGTGTGGAAAAAATAGAGTGTGAAATAAGTAAAAGACTCAAAGGCAGTATAAATGATAACGATTGATATAGGTAAGATGATAATGTTAACATACTTACTTCGTCTCCCTCATCAATTAATCCTTGAATGGCATTAAAAAGAGATCCATATGCTCCTATTGTTACAAGGATTTCTTTATTTGGATTGATTGGATTTTGATAAAATTTTTCATATAAGCAGGATAAAGCTTTCACAAGTGATGGATGACCCTGTTGAGTACAAAAGAAGAAAAAAAAAAGCCCTTGAATTTGATTATGGGATCTACTTGGAAGTATTCTGGATCTAAAATGAAAGAATTTTTAAAAGTTGGGTTTTATGTTTATAATTATCCAAAGAAAATTTGTATTTTTTAATGGAAATAAAAAACATTTTCCCCTACTTTCAGAGGATTCCTACATCAATGGTCATAAAAACTTGCTAACGACTAATAAAAATCCTATTACCCAATTGGTTTTGGAATTTTAAAAAGTTCCAACCTATTTGCTTTGATAAAAATTGACTTCAGTATCAAATGTACTTTTGATAGCAATCAAATCACATTCAATTACTTTATTGTTGACAATAATTAAATCAGATTGGACAGAGTTGGACTTTTTCCCCAGTTAAAAGAAGAAAACCTGCATTGTCTATATATCCTGAATCTATTCTTCCATGTTACCAGAGAGGCTATTATGCCAACCAATGGACTATGCAGAGAGGGCAAAGCAAATTCCTCAGAGAAATGCACAGTAGTGCTCATGTGAGAGTAAATGTTAGGAGGAAGTAGGGCATTCTTCACCACTGTGATAGCCTAGAGGGGAGGATTCATCCAAGCGAACAATGTTCCTCAGGAGGAATGAAAGATTATAAATGCACAAAGTCTGAGGCATGTAGGAAGTCTTAACTCCTTGATTAGCTCTTCTCTTCTTCTATGTTCTCTGCTCTCCCCCTCCTTTCTCTTTCTTTTCCTTTCCTTTTCTCCCCCTTGTCTTATTTGGCATTGAAGTCAGTATTTCTTATTTTTCCTGCCTAGCATGTGGCTCCTTTTTTTGCTTTTGGAGAAACACCTTCATGTTTTGTCAGTTGCAAGTGAGAGTCCAAGTGCAGAGCATGTGCCTTTTTTGCAAAGCACCTAGGGCTCTGGAGGAATAAACTGGGTCAGGAGACAGGACAAGAAGGAGGCTAGTGGAATATACCCCAGGTTTACAAAGTAAAATAGTCTTTGGTTGTTCTAAGTTATCTATTCTAGTTTACATGAAAGGGAGGTATCTTTTGTTAAAGATACTTTTGTTTGTCACCTTTGGTAGAATGTTGGCTAGTATGTCACAGATCTTCACCCAATTAAAATCAATAAAAACAAAGCTATAGCACATTTTTCATATTTTGAAATTAGGAGATATTATAATATTAGAGAAACTGGGTATAATCAATAATAGGGAAGGTGATGGAACATAGCCAGTAAACTTAAAAGTAATAGCAAGAGAAAAAGACTACTTAAATTCAAGTTCCACAAAATATACATGATTTGTGAAAAGAGCAAGAGAAGATTGTCACCACTCCCAGAAATCCAAACTTTCCTTTGAATTTCATTTTAATCACAGGTCTAACAAATTGTAGCAAAGGATGATCTGAAAGTCACCATAAACACTACACATCTTTCCTCAGAATGATAAGGGTCTGTGTTCTAAAAATTTTTTAATTACAAAAATAATGCATGCATCATATAATAATTAAAATTAGGCAAAGATGTGTGTTAAAAATAATTATGATCTCTCCTCAACACTTCCTTCCCATTCCCCTGAGGTGATGAATGTCATCCACAGCCTGGTGACAGTGCAAATGCCATCCCCTGTGCTTATTCCAATATAAAAACAGATATATTACAAAAACTGGAAAATATTTATTTTTAATTTTTTTACTTTAAATTCAATTTGCCAACATATAGCATAACACCCAGTGCTTATCTCCCATCACACTGGAAAATATTTTACAAATGGGAATAGGTTACAGCAAAGAAAGCAATCAGCAAAACTAAAAGGCAACCCAGGGAATGGGAGAAGATATTCGCAAATGACATATCAGATAAAGGGCTAGTATTCAGAATCTATAAAGAATCTTTCAAACTCAATACCAAAAAAATAAAAAATCCAGTCAAAAAATGGGCAGAAGACATGAACAGACATTTCTCCAAAGAAGACATACAAATGGCAATAGACACATGAAAAAATGCTCAACATCACTCATCATCAGGAAAATACAAATCAAAACTACCAGTCAGAATGGCTAAAACTAACAACTCAGGAAGCAACGGATGTTAGTGAAGATGTGGAGAAAGGGGAACCCACTTGCTCTGTTGGTAGGAATGCAAACTGGTGCAGCCACTCTGGAAAACAGTGTGGAGGTTCCTCAAGTTAAAATCTGAGCTACCCTATGATCCAGCAATTTGCACTACTAGGTATTTATCCAAAAGATACAAAAGTGCTGATTCAAAGGGGCATTTGCACCCCAATGTTTATAGCAGCAATGTCCACAATAGCCAAAATATGGAAAGAGCCCAGATGTTCACCAACAGATGAACAGATAAAGAAGATGTGGTATGTATACATACACACACAATGGAATATACAGCCATCAAACAGAATGAAATCTTGCCATTTGCAACGACATGGATGGAACTAGAGAGTATTATGCTAAGTGAAATTAGTCACAGAAAGACAAATACCATATGATTTCACTCATATGTTGAATTTAAGAAACAAAACAGATGAACCTAAGGGAAGGAAAGGAAAAATAAAAGAAGATAAAAACAGAGAGGGAGGCAAATCATAAGAGACCCTAAACTGTAGGAAACAAATTAAGGGTTGCTGGGAAAGAGGTGAGTGGGGTGATGGGCATTAAGGAGGGCACTTGATGTAATGACCACTGGGTGTTATATACAACTGATAATTCTACCCTGAAACTAATAATACACTACATGTTAACTAAATTGAATTTAAACAAAAATTTTTAAAAATATAAAGGGGCATAGGTTATGTTCTAATCAAACTTAATTTACAAAATTCAAGACTGGGTCAGATATGCCTCAAGGCCATAGTTTGCCAAACTCCATTAAGGATCAATTTAGGGAGAACTGACTACAATATTTTATTTCCCAATCCATGAATATCATATACCACTCCATTCAAAGTTTTGTAGTTTTTGTTGTATAGATCTTGCATATATTTTAAAAATTCTGTTCAAATACTTAACATTTTGGGATGCTATTGTAAATGGTATTTTTTTTAAATTTTACTTTCCAGCTGTTCATTTTTAGCATACAGAAATACAATTGGTTTCTGTTCATTGGCCTTGTGTCCTTCAATCCTGCTCAATTGTGGTAGTAAGTTGTGGTAGTTTTTTGGTAGAATCTAGGGATCTTTGGATATCCTAGGTATTTCATCACAGAAGTACAGGGATTGGCAGAGAGGCAGAGAGGAAGAAAGTAACTAGCTGAAAATAAAATATTAATTAAGAGGCCAGTGCTGAGGCTGCATGTGTTAAAGGGAGAGAAAATATGATGTGTGCCAAGAGAATATTCTCTGCAAAGTGATGTAGCCACTGTGAAAGACAGTATAGAGGTTCCTCAAAAAATTAAAAATAGAGCTACATATGATCCAGTAATTCTGGATATTTACCTAAAGAATCTGAAAACACTAATTCAAAAAGATATAGGCACCCTATGTTTATAGCAGCATTATTTACAATAGCCAGCGCAAGTGTCCATTGAGAGACGAATGGATGGCACACCTGGGTGGCTCAGTGGTTGAGCGTCTGCCTTTGGCTCAGGGTGTGATCCCAGAGTCCCGGGATCAAGTCCTGCATCGGGCTCCCCACATGGAGCCTGCTTCTCCCTCTGCCTATGTCTGTGCCTCTCTCTGTCTCTCATGAATAAATAATAAAATCTTAAAAAAAAGAGAGAGAGATGAATGGATAAAGAAGATGTAGAGTGTATGTGTGTGTATATATTTATATATATACATACACATATAAAATGGAATGTACGTGTGCATGTATATAGTATATATACTATATGTATTATGGAATATTATTCTGCCATCAAAGAGAATAAAATCCTGACATTTGCAACAACATGGATGGGGCTAGAGAGTATAATGCTAAGTGAAATAAGTCAGAGAAAGACAAATAGTATACAATTTCACTCAAATGTGGAATCTAAGAAACAAAACAAAGGAAAAAAAGAGAGAGAGAGAGAGAGAGAGAGAGAGAGAGAGAGAGAGACAAACCAAAGAACAGACTCTTAACTCTAGAAGGAATAAATGGATGGTTAGCAGAGGGGAGGTCAGTAGGGGCACGGGTGAGATGGGTGAAGGGAATTAAGAGTACACATAGTGATAAGCACTGAGTAATGTATAGAATTGCTGAATCAAAATACTGTACACCTTAAGCTAATATAACACTGTATGTTAACCATACTGGAATAATAATACTAAATAAATTGGAAAAAAAAAAGAGGCGACTCTCCCTTCCTTGTTGCCATAAGACCCTACACTAGAACAGCAGTAAAGGAAGGACCAAGATAGGAGGGGTTAGAAGTTGGGAACTGCTCCTTTTAGTAGAGAAAGGCAATGGTGGGGGTTCCTCTGATTATCAGGTTGGGACAGCTGGTCCCAGCAAGTCAAGTATACAGAAGTGATAGGACGACATTCTACACAATACAATATAAAATACAAGTTCATACCCCACATTGTCTTCATATACTTACAAAGCCTCGTGTATACTGGTTCAGGCTATCAATTGCTGCAATCTTTGATAACTCCTCCTTCACATATATAGGAGGGGATATATCTGGGAGGCCTTGACCAAGATTCACAACAGAGGGGTCGGCAGCCAACTTTGTAAATTCAATCCTAAAATTAAAAAATACTAATTAGTACTAATAATTACCAACTTAGCTTTTTATACCTCATGATTTTAACATAAAACTGAGAAACTAAGATCTCATTTAGTCTTACAAATAAAAAAGAAGTGAGTTCCCAACAAAAACTTTACCACCTACAAAACGACTTTATCTCATTAAATGATGGCTGAACTAATAAACTTAAAAGTTTCTTACAAATTTCAATTTCATGATACCCATAGTTTCATCATCTATTTTCTTCCCTCAACCATACCAGCTTCCTCATGGATCACAAGAAAGTTCTATATCCTTTTCTCTGCCTTATTTGCAGGCTTAGCACATGTGCCAGATGAATAAATCAGGGTATGGATTCTTAACTTCCTTCCAGTTTCACTTGATGAATAAATTATAATGTCTTCATTTGTAGACCATAGAGGAGGCTAACAATTCCCAACTAAGAATATCAAAACATGTAGGAAAAAAGCTTCACCAAATTATTATCGTTTATTCTAGGATACTTACCACACGTTACTATCAAGGCCTTCAATTCGTTTTGCATTGGTAATTTTCAAAGACATCTTCTGAAAGATATAATTATTGAAAGGTTTGTAATATTTCTTTAATCAATATTCAAAAAAGCCAGAAAATCATAGATAACTCTACCTCTTTTCCCTATTGTTGCCATGGAAAAAGAAGTACCATAATGACAAAGGCCAGACCCCAGTGCAAAAATCTGAAGTGGAATCATCTTCCACCTACTTCCCTAAGGGCTGTTTTTTCTTATGATCCTTGGATGTTTATCACAAAAGAATAAAAATTTCATCCTAGCCTAAAAAAATAAGCCAGTTTGAAGGCCTGAAATATACTGAAGAGAACAATAATGATACTAAAAAAAAAAGTCAGCTTAAAAAAATGCCTTGAATTATTCTCTGAGGATTGTTTTAGGTAAGATGTCCTAACAGTTCCACAAATAATCTCCTTGTATGGCATACAGGAAGCATTCAAAAAAAAAAAAAGGTTTTAAAACTACTCAATAAAGAGTCCCAAATAATAAGAGATCATATTATTGAGTACTGAGTATGTACCAAGCACCGTTCTCAGTGTTGTACATAATTAACTCATTTCATATTCACAACAACTCTATGTAGTGGTTCTCTTGTTATCCCTAATTTACATACAAGCAAAGTGAGGTATAGAGGATAATGTTACAGAACTTTATACACCTGCTCAAGTTTACAAAAGCTGGTAACATTTAAACTCAAATAGATTCAACTCAGGATTTGAACCCAGGCAGTTTTACTCTGGAATACATACCCAGATTTCTTTTTAGATTTTATTTATTTATTTTTGAGTGAGAGTATGAGCAGGGAAAGGGGCAGAGCTAGGGAGAGAGAGAGAGAATCTCAAGCAGACTCATGCTGAGCAAAAACCCTCCCCACCTCCACCCCCCTCCCCCGCCAACACAGGGCTCAATTCACAACCCTGAGATCACAACCCAAGCCGAAATCAAGAGTCGGATGCTTAACCAATTGGTACCCAGGTGCCCCAGATCTATTGCTATATACTGTCTTTTCTGTAATAAAACCTTATAAAAATATTACCAGAATGCTGCCTCCTAAAAAATGTATATTAGACGTTTAGATCGGGTCTCCTTACGTCAAGCAGGCTAGGGTTATGGTAGAAAAACATTAAAAGTTAAAATTATGGTACAGCATACAATTTCTTAGTTCTCTAGATCTTAAAATTAAGTTTATACTATCTCCCCAAAGCACTGAATTAGCGTTGAGTTCACTGTTAACAAGCTGCGAGGGAAAAAAATGATTGGCAGCATTTTTACAAAGATTTTTCCTAATAGAATATTAAAGCAATTTTAATTCAATCTGGGAAGAAGATAATGATAATGGTTATTAAATAGATCATTGTTCTCATTTTATTCCAACAATGGAACCAAGAAAAATATCTTTTATTCTCATATTTTTTAATCCTTGAAACTCCAATAAAGTAAATCACATGCATATTCTCCAGAGGTTAAGGTGCCTTCCAGAATAGCATTATGATTAAGTACCCACCTGAACATGATGCTATTCTAGAAACTACAATTATAAAACTAAAAAATCCCAGAATGATAGACAGCAAAAGATATTTTAACAATTGTCCTTTTCACTTAAAAAATATTTAAAACTTAATGATTCACTTAGCATGTGGCTACAAAGTACAAAATCATATATAAAAGTGAGCAAAGTCTGCAGCATATCATTTAGACATAAAGTCTAATTTTACTTAAAATATTTGGATAATTGAAGGCAAAACACATTTCCAGATTTAATTTTAAAATTTATGTCCAGAACAGTCTCTCTCACAACCTCCCGGTCTCTACTCCTCTCACTTCTATGCCTCAACCATTTTAATATTTCAGATATTCCATCTTACTTCTGTACCTTCACATAAGATCATTCCTCTATCATAATGGTCTTTCTACACCAATGTTTTTCAACCTCTTTTTCATCACTGCCCCCATAAAGAGACCTTTTAGATATTTTTTCTAATCGCCTCCCCCACTGCCTTATAGAATAAGAAGTATGATTTTGTAAGGCAGGGTTGAGCTTTACAAGGTCACAAAACATTGCATTAGCTATGGTTGATTTCACCTGCCACGCACCAATTTTCTCCCCTTGAGGGCAATAATGCTCCTGTTGAGAATGCTATGCTCAATTTGATCCCTGCTCCCCACCACCCTGTTTCTGCACTTGAATAACTCCTAATCCACTTGCCACTTTTCAGCTCTCAAGTCAGACTTCATTCCTTCCAGAGAGTATTTTCTGATTCCCTAGGTCAAGGTTATATGCTCTTCTTATGTACTCCTATTACATGGAGTACTTTCCAGCATTTATTATATAACACATAATTTTCCTGTTTATTTACCTATATCCTTCCTTAGACTGTAAGCACTGAGGATTTCTAGCTTGTTCACTGGTATGTGTCTGTATTAATCAGGTGTCTCCACAGAAATGGAGCCAATTGGATGTGCATATATACAGCGATTCAAGGAACTGGCTCATGCGGCTTGTGGGGGCCAGAGAGTTTGGAGTCTGCAAAGCAGTCCAGCAGGCTGGGGACCCAAGAAGAGTTGGTGTTACAGCTCAGAGGCTAAAGGCAGCCTAGAGGCAGAAGTCTCTCTTCTTGGGGGGAACCTTAATCTTTTTTCTCTTAAGGCCTTCAATTGATTAAATCAGGCCCACCCATATTCTATAGAGGGCATTTTACTTAAAATCTACTGATTTAAATATTAATCTCATTTGAAAAACACCTTCAGAGACATCTACACTGATATAGATATCTGGGTTCCTTGGCCTAGCCATGTTGACACAAAATTAACTATCACGGTGTCCAACACATAAAACTATGCTTAGCACATAGAAAATTTTCAACAAATATCTGATGAATGAATGCAAAAATCCACACATTAGAAGTGAACGTATGGTATCAGTTGGCTTAACTTAAATTATGTTAGGTACTTATTGCATCAGCTTAAGTTGATTTATGGTTCAGTAAAAAATGACCCCAAGGTCTTGGTAGCTTAAAATCACAAAGGTTTCTTTTTCATACTACATATTCACTGAAGGTCAGCTGCTGCATTGTTCCATGTCACTGTCACTCTGAGACATGAGCTGATGAAATAGCCTCTTTTTGGAATACTGTCAGTTTCATAGCAGAGGGAAAAAAATTTTTAGTTTCTACTTAGATGTTCACATACCATTTCTACTCACACGGTATTGGCCAAAGCAATTCATGGCTATGCCTGATAACAACATGGCAGAAATCAAGTCTGGAGGTAGAATGATTATTGTGGTCTGAATTGTGTACCCCTCCAAATTCAGGTTGAGGCCCTATCACCCATTACCTCAGAATGTGACCTTATTTGGAAATAGGTTCGTTGCAGATGTAATTGGTTAAATTAAGGTCATGGGTTGCAAGGAGGCTAATCCAATATGACAGTGTCCTTACACAAAGGGTAAATTTGGAGACAGTCTGGCATACAGAGAGGATGTCACATGAAGATGAAAGTAGGGATCGAGGTGGTGCTTTTGAAAGCCAAGGAATGCCAGAGATTGACAGCAAACTACCAGAAACTAGGGGAAACGCATGAACAGACTCATTCTCACATCATACAGAAGAAACCAATCCTGGCACACTTTGCCTTTGGGCTTTTAGTCTACAAAACTGTGAGCTAATACAGTTTTGTTGCTTAAGCCACTTAGTTTGTAGTTCTCTGTTAAGGCAGCCAGAGGAAATTAATATAGTGATGAACATTAACAAGACACCCTATAGTGTATAAAAACATCAAGATTCAGGAATAGATGCAAATGAGCACTATATAAGAATTAATGTCAGAGTAGATTCAGTCTTATGAAATGAAAATAAACCTGGGGATCCCTGGGTGGCGCAGCAGTTTAGCACCTGCCTTTGGCCCAGGGCGCGATCCTGGAGACCTGGGATCGAATCCCACGTCGGGCTCCCGGTGCATGGAGCCTGCTTCTCCCTCTGCCTGTGTCTCTGCCTTTCTCTTTCTCTCTGTGTGACTATCATAAATAAATAAAAATTAAAAAAAAAAAAAGAAAATAAACCTGGATCCTATGGGGAATTAAGTATGAGCCTCAGGTATATGATAGGACCTGTATAATTATACAGGACCTGTATAATTTCTGGACCAGGTATTTCATGAGCTGGTTCCTGCTCCCAGGGAGATTAATGCCTGGCATACATATATTGCTCTCATATGGGATAAACACAAAAATGCTAGTGAAATAATAAGTAGCATCTTTTTTTTGTTGACTTGAGGCTGAAAAGTGAAGTTCTAAAATTCACCACTAGGTGCCACTCTTGGCAGAGATGAGAAAAGCTTATTGCTATTCTAAAATGATTACTGCAATGGTGTTCGAACAAGAAAAACTTGGAAAGAAGAAAGAATATTACCAGTTATCCTATGGCTCTAGTATACTACAGTTTCAACTGTATATATTTTGAGGACTCTGCCTGTAAGACCTGTTGGTTTTAGGTGGGATAGGATAGGTAAGAAAGTCTTCTGAAATGGTGCGGTGAAGCTGGGTAAGTTGAAGCTGTTACATCTATGAGTCAAGCATAAAAAGGATAAAGAGTGCAAGAAAAGGTCAGAAACAGAAATAACAAAGCTGATGGTTAGAGAGATAAAGAGAATAATCAGACATGAGAAACAGACTCTAGTACTTCAGGTCTAGGCTGGAGCAGAAAGTAAATGACCATATAATGGGCAACCCTCTAATGTGCTGTCTGGGCAGGTAGGGCAGCCAAAACATCCATTATTTATAGTTGCAATCACATGGGATTTTTAAAACATTTGCCTTTTCTTTTAACAGAGTATCTTAATGATGTTACAAATTTTCTCAGTCATCATAAAATTTTCACTTTTAATTAGCAGATATTATTTCAGGTTATTTATATACCACACTTTACTCATTCATTCCTTATCGTTTGGGCATTTGTTACTTCCAGTGTTTTGCAATTATAGGTAGTGTTTCCACTGTGCATTTCATTATAGGGTTTC